ATGAGCTCACGTACACATCGCATTTACGATGTATTTCTATTTATATAGTACACCGAACAATTTCCCTTGGCATTTGAATTCCCATTTTATGTTTCCAAAAACTAAACAACTTTAAACATTAGATGCAAATCTGTAATTAAGTCCTAGGCAGCACAGACTCAGGAGGATTATAATATATTTATTTGAACCAATGTATTGTTGTTGCGTTTATATCTAAAATATTCAGTTAAAATTAATACTAAGAAGAAAATATACAGTGACCGGGGAAAAAATAGGTCGCTTTCGGATTGACGAGGCATGATTAATGACTTTTCATTCTTTCTAAAAAAACATGCATGTCATGAGTTGCGTATTTATTTTCTTTAATGAATTTGACTTTGGAATATAATATCAAAATAGTTGTTATGCATTTTATGTTGAAATATCTTACTTTTGACTCTTAAAGTTGTCTGAAAAATAATGAACAAGTGCGTTTGAAGGCAGTCGTATCATAGTAGAGTCGTTTTAAAGAAGAAAATCAATGACTGTTGCAATGACTAAAACAACTATCTCACTGGTCTTCATAACATACATAATAACATTTAATAAAGAAGTTTAAAATAAAAGATATAAAAGCAAAATACATACAAAATAGGCAGAAGAATTATTACAATAAAGAGACATTCATTAATGAATAAAATTAACTGAGAGGAGGTAATTCCAAGATAACTAAATTAATATAAATGTAATAAGTGAAACAATGCTTAGTAAAACTGAGAACGAGTTAATACAAAATAAATATTCTTTGTTATAATGAACAATATAAGGATAATCTTTTGTCTACTGAAATATGATCACGATTCTACTTTCACTCTTCATACGATGTTTGTGATATGAATACTGTTAGTACCGTAATGTACACTTTCATTATACTTTACTGTCCTATTATACATATTCTATTTATTGTACAAAACGTTTGTTCCGTTAGCCGTACTGAGACAATCTTTTTTACATTAGAATTAATATTATCTAAACTCTTTTACACGCAAAAAATTACAATTTAGCCATCACAAATTATTATTCAATATGCTCCGTAATTCTAAATACTTTTCACAGAAAATGTTATCTAAAGTCAACTCACGCAATCACTTTTGCACGTCAAAGTTTTAACATAAATTTTAATTTACGTCCCGAATTAGATAAAGTAATTTAATCTCTAATTTAAAAAAAAACTTATTAAAAACGTTTTTCATTAAATAACTTTGATTTGATTTGATTAAAAAACAATTCTTGATCCGAATAACACAAAAATCTTCGTATCATTCAGTGTCGCTTGCGTCACAGAATAGAGCATTTACAATTGTAAGTAGTATAAATCGGTCATAGCAAGTTATTGAATTGATGGAGCTTACAAAGGACCAATTACCAGGGCTGGCACGGACTACAAGGTCAATTGACACTCGCCCGACTGACTCATCCCGGATTTGGCATGTAAAATAAAATTAGAGGAGGGTTGGGATAATAAAATTGTCGAATAAAAGATTTTTTCCCCTTCTTGGATTACAGACTGAGTGTTTTGGGCGAGCGTGTGTTGAATTTAGCCGGAACGAAAATGTTGTCTAATTTTTGTAACAACTTTTAATTCTCATTTCTTTTAGTGATATCTTAAATTTTATGAATTACGTTCCACTCGTCGAAGTTTCATTTTAGAATTTTAAACATCTTAAAATTATAATGACATCTAAGACTTTCGCGAGTACCTATTCATTTAAATGAAACTAATATTACTACTGGTAGTAATTATTAATTTTGATACTTTTTTATTGTTTTATATACTTAGTACAACAGGTATGTACAAATTCCTAGGTGTTTAAGCACACGTTTTGTATTATTAAAGATAACTGGAACGAAAATATAAATGATCTCTAAAAAAAATTATTCGTTACCATTGCGTACTTATGCATAGATTGGGATACATTTTATTTTGACAATTGTTTCCACAACAAAGCCATAATTAATGTGAATATTCCCGTAACAATAATAATGTTTTTCCAAAAATAAATTTACATAATTTTGATAAACTCTTGAGTATAATTAAAATTGGGATGAATCATCAAATTTTATTATTTAAAATAACCAAAACAATACTAGCAAATAATAGTATAAAATTCATCATTTCGTTACAGCTAATTAAAAGTATTATTCTTATTAAAAGATATTGAGAGGTTATTTATAATAACCGAATCGTTGTTTCTGATACAATGGCCCGTTTTATGAGCATCATCGGTTGTACGGTCCCCATTGTCCATTGTGCCACAAAGAATTCATTCAATTCCGCAAACTGTGACAATAAATCATATATATTGTTTAAGAATGAGATCGCAAACACTATTCCCTCAAAGGTAAGGTGTTAGTAGAAATATTTATTGTCTATTCTATACATTCTCTACAATAATAAAATAATGTTCAAAGAAGTGGATATATGTAGAATAAAAAAAAATATGCTTTATTTTTATTTGCTTAATAGACAATTAAGTGAAATTAAAGAACTTTGTATAAACTTGTGCTAGGATATGAATATGGAGAAGGCATAGATACATATATTAAAATCCAGTTTACATTTACCTTATACTTAATTAGGTTAACCTTGTTCTTTCAAAATCAACGTTTATCATTTTAAACACATGCTTTATAAAAAACTTTATTAAATTTCTATATAAATAATTTTAAAATGATAGCCCACGTTCGCAACGTGATGTTTTATATTTTCAATTACAGTGCATGTAATAAATATTGAGCAAAAAAGAGCATTTTATTAAATTAAATCCTCAACCACCATCCATCACAGTAACAAAAGTCCAAGGATTTATTTACATAAAGTTTTTCTAGAAAACCATAATTCTACCTGTATAACGTTATAAATACACAACAAGGTTTGTAAATTGCGAGTTTTAATTTTAATAAAAACGACCATTGTTTCACAAACCGAGCACTTTTTGAACATTGAACATTACAAGGGGTTGCTACAAACAAACTGTTCAAAGCAAATTGATACTCGCTACGTTCTCGAAACTATCGCTGTTCATACAAAAAGTACTACAGTTGAATTTTGTTTTTAAAGTTTCCCCTTTTGAAAAAATATTTGCTGGCTATCGTTAAAAACTAACCGAAATATGTGCAGTGAATGCCAGAGATTTGGAATAAAAGCACATTTGTCTGCACGGAACTCAATTGGTTAACAATCTATAGTTAGGATGTTGTTGTATAATGTGGTTGTGGTCTGTTCTATTCAGCTTTAATTTGTACGAATTAAAGTACAAAACATGTCAGCAATTACACGACTTATAATCACGAGCATGAATCTCACGTCTCATCGTGCATTAGATTAAAATAGTCGAGGATTTTTGTTTTTTGTGAAATTTTTATTCAAATTATTTATTATAATTAACTGTAGCAAAGATTATTTGAAATTTTAACATTTCAACCAACCCAAATTATCTCGCTAGTGACCGAAAAGCTGCCTATAGATGAATATAATAGAAATAAATATTATAGTTTTTGAAAAAAGTAAATTCCACGAAGTTCTCAATATGTAGACTGTAGAGCAACAAGACCTGACCTGAAGTCAAGTATCAATAGTGTCAGATGACCCCCGTCGTCTAATGACCAATTATGCTTGTTAACTCTTGACCACAATTAATCGTTTTAGCATTTTAATTTCTTGTAACATTGTTGTTAGAAATCTAGCAATGACATTGCTTAATATAATGTATTATCGTAAAACTTTATAACGAATAGAATGCTATATCAATAAAACAGAAACTCTTACAAGTTATTAGTACTAAAACATATTGTTTTGGTACTAATAACTATACGACTTTACATATCAGAGTATATTAAATAACATACTTTTAATTAGACCACATATATGTGAAATTATTATTGGTTGGTAATGTGATTCTAAATTGTTAGCTGACACTGTAACCCTCTATCAAACCGATATATATGACAACGGCATTACAGATGTTCGAGTTATACCTTTATCTTAGACCTCTTTAAAACAATTAGCAAATCCGGGAACTAGCATCACTATATATGGAATCGTTGGAAACGAGAACACGTCAATAGAAAAGTAGCTGCATAATCATCGGTCACCACATGAGTTGAGGAACTCGCGTCAAACCAGTCTCAGTATGTACTCAGTACTACCGATAACCTGAGACTACGTTTAACTTCCAGTCACGAGGCAGCCTTCGTCCAAACGGCGGTGTCGGCGTCTTGCGCGTGCGCTCTTTCGAAATCACAATTTCTAATACGTTACAAGTGTCGTGACTTTGTGTAATATCAATACCATTTGTAAATATAACTCCGCGTCAGTTTTGTGTGAGAACATGTGAATAAGCCGTGTGATTGAATATTTTAAGTGGATTACCATTTATTTTTTACGGTGAGTTACTTTTATTTGTTTATACAATAACTTTATTTTGTAATAGCCTTTTGGTTATACTATTTTCGTAAAATTTTATAAAATGGTAATTTAAAGATTGAGAATTGTGTTAATAATATATGACATGTTTTTTTACATTAAATGACATTTAAATAAAATTCTATAAGCATTACGAATGTCAACAGTCGCACAATTATTTTAACAGCTTGACTGTACACAATTATGAATGCACAATGCCATTGCAATACTTCCTGGTATAAAATAAATAATCGCGACTCATTTATAAGCCTTCTATAATTATAGTTACCTTCTGATTGCACTGGCATAAGATAACAATAATGTACTCTTTATAAATATTTTGAAACGTTAGATCACATATGATTGTTTCTTATCTTCGATGATGTCATAGAGCTAAATCGAAATTCGTATGTAACAATTAAACAAGGCCACATGTGTTACTACACAATGTTTACAATTACACCTGACAGTATTGGTATACCATGGCCTAAGTGATTTATTTAAATATAATTAGCATATTTTACAACTTAATCATTAACGAATATAAAAATACGATATGAAGAGTTATACGAAATCTACATACGTTTATACCAAATTAAGAAAGAACTTTGGTAAACAACCGCTATTTCAAATGGTACCAGCGCATATGTTAGATTCTATAAACCCAAATAAAGAACTACAAAAACAGTACATTCTACGGAATCCTGTTCTTAAAGGAGTCCAAGCCGTGTTGCCTCAATCGGAACACGATAGCAATACAAAGAGAGTAGAATTGAACGAGCAAGGTATAAATCATACGGAAGGCGGTTGGCCTCGCGATGTTCACTTGTACAATGAAGAGCATCTAGCACGCCACCGTCGCCGTATACAGCATGATGATAACTATGTCCACACAGTGTTAAATCTTTACCCACACTTCGAACATTTCATAACACAAAACAATGCTATTGAAATGTATCAAACTTACTTCCACGGCATGAAACAACAAGATCCAGTTGAAAAGCATAATGTTCAAATTGCAAATACATTTCGTGACAAATTTCATCGACCTGTATCTTGTATTGTGTGGACCCAAGAAAAGCATTCAAAGTTAGTTGCAAGCTATTCTTACAAGACGCGGCTAGTTCAACCCGAATCAAATAGTGAAAACGTTTGCTTTGTATGGGATATCAATAAACAAACAGAGCCAATCTATGAATTTTTACCAAAGCATAGCTGTTGGCAAGTAGCCTGCTCACCAGTAGACCCTAATTTAATAATTGCGGGGCTGGACAATGGTACAGTAAATGTTTTCGATATTCGAGTTGGTATCCATTGTGTGACAAGCAGCTCTATTTATAATTCTCATTTTGCTCCAATAACATCATTGTTATATACTCACTCAAGAACAAACACAGAAGTCTTCACAGGTTCTCCCGATGGTCAATGTCTCTGGTGGGATGTAAGAAATCTCTCTAACCCTCTAGACCAACTTCCAATGTCAATAAGATTATCAGCCGATCAGACGCCTAATTTAACTAATGCAGAAGGTGTTAGTAATTTAGAATTTGATCGTGGACTTCCAACCAAATTTTTATGTGGTACAGAGTCAGGTTTAGTTATAAACGCTAATCGTATGGGAAGAAGTCATTCAGAAATATTAACATCATATTGGGAAGCACACTCGGGCCCCGTAAGAGCGGTTCATAGGAGTCCGTGCACTTTAAGAATGTTTATTACTTGCGGTGATTGGAGTGTTCGGATTTGGAGTGAAGAGGTACGAACTGCTCCAATAATAGTAACCCCACCTTATCGTTATGAAGTCACAGATGTTGTTTGGGCACCATTACGGTATTCTAGTTATATGGCTATAAGTGAAGATGGTGTATTTTATTTCTGGGATCTCTTAAGAAAACAGAAACAACCTGTCGCTACTCTCAATATCTCTAAATTTGGTCTGACTAAATTGAGCCCTCATTGGAAAGGTGAACTTACGGCTGTCGGAGATAATGATGGATCGCTTTTCCTTCTTAATTTATCAGATAATATGGTAATGCCTGGTCCTAACGATAAACAGTTAATGCACCAAACTTACGATCGCGAAACCAGACGTGAACATATTATAGACAATCGAGTAAAAGAGTTGCGATTAAAGGCTCGTGTTGAAGAAGAAATGCCTGTTCAAATAGAACCCGATGAATATTCTAATGAAGATGATTTTGAGAGACAAACTGAAGAATATTTTGATATAGTCAAAAAAGAAATGACATTAGTGGGTGGTATATTCCCAGAGAATTGTACATTAACCGAATGAAATAATTACTTTTCTTCTTAAACCTATGATGTGCAATATTGTAATAAAATCGAATAAATGTTATAATTATTTCAAACTTTAGTATCATTCATCGCCGAAGACGGTGCTCCAAACAAGCTGGGATAAATAAAAAGCTTGCAGCCCGCATGTGTAAGGAAAAAACACATCCGGCATTTTAATAGAGGGTCACGTTCAACGCCATAAATGATATTATCTTACATTTGAAAACATGTGAACTGTGTACGATATGTCAATGGTTAAGTGTCACATAAAAACCATAAAAGCCTAAGCCTTAATACATTGGTTTAACTGCACTATACTAAATTTCTTGAATCAGGAGCTATGTCAAACAATACATACATATATATAAAAGTTAGTCACTAATGAGATATATTTCTAAAAAGAATAATCAAAAAAATCTCCATTCAAAAAGATACACGGTGTATTAAACCATAGTAACATACTTTCGCATTTCGATTCCTTATATTATACCGCAAGCGTCTCGTATTCGAGTTTCATTCAAATTACATCATAAAATATTTTGTTTATGTTGAAGACGAGAACGTGGTTCTACTTTATGTGAACAAAAGTGCGTCACGGCAACTTTCACCGGAGCCCGAGTCGCTGCGCGCGCGCAGCTATGTAGTTTGTGGCGAACCTATTTTCGCTTTAAACTATTAAATTATATAAATAGTTTTAAGGTAATGTTTTCCTTATAAGGAATAATATATATGTAGTTGGGACAGTTGTCTCAAGGAATAACATGAACTAGCATTATAAGTGAATGTAAAAAGGAATTTATAAAATAATCATGCATCTTATTATACTTTTATATACAAAATTATTTAAAATCAATATAAATATATCATACTTGATAAATTACCAATACTCTAAATAACACCAATATATCACAAATATTTCAGCTTGAAATACCAACATAATTACAATATTAAATTAGATAACATCAAACTAACGTGCTAATATAATATATGAGATTGTTTGTAGGTAATTAATTGTCCTCGATGCAATTAATATGGAATGTTGTGTACAGGCGATCTAGGTTAATGTCTACCACTAAGGAATCTTGATTTTTCTGAAGTTTCATAAATAATATAAGTTTTATTTTAAATCCCTTTTTAAATTTTACAAAATTTATATTTATATGTTTTTGTAAAGCGTGAGTGATATGACGAGTATACTACATTGTCTGTTTCTACGTTTCTTATCACTGCACATTCACAATATTGCAATAAAATTATATATTTTACGTTCAAATCCACCTTGAAACGGTAAAAAGACCACAAACCGTGTTCATTCTTTGCGGTCCAAGTATCAAGTAATAGATAACACAAGTAAACTTACTTTCATAGAGTTTATTTAATATCAATGAATATAAAATAGAAGAGCATAAAATAATTTCAATTTTCCATATTGAGACTACTCTTCCCAATTAGAATTCTCTAACTTTATTAAATTTAATCAGGACGAATTAATTAATATTCGTTGGTACCGAATAAAGTTACTGCCAACATCCGTTTTGTTGAGAACATAATTAATGATTCATTTTAATATTATGTAGATATTATAAGTCATAGATCGTACGCAAATGTAGCTGACGAATAGATGTTTTTTTTTTTCTAATTTTAACATATCTATCTACAATATTTTTTCTTTACAGTTGCTTTGTATACATAATCTTCTTCTTCTAATGTAGTAACAGACAATGTAGTATACTCGTCATATCACTCACGCTTTACAAACATAATGTTTCACCATAATGTTTGTTTTTTAAATCATGACTTGGAAGCATCAGTAATTCTTCCGACAGATGCTGCTCTTTTTACATAAGGGGTAACTTAAAAGGCTTACTCTGTGAGTGAATGTAGTGTGATGTGCTTACATTCGGAGATATATCCTAAGAGCATTCGATATGTAGCCTGTACAGACTCCATATTATTTCTTAAGTATCATTACCTAAGAGTATAGAGTTATATGTATCATTTCATATGTTACAGTATAATTATATCTTGCATGTAAAATCATAAGAACATACTAATGTTATGAATGTGTAATTATGCACATTGTGTATTTGTTTCACAACAACCCAAAAACCACCGAACCGATGTGGATATTTTTTTGATTAGGTAACTCTTATGTTTCCAACATTTAAATTACTATGGTCCTATTAATTTTAAAAATTCAGAAGTTCGATACTGTATATGTATATATAATTCAAGAGAGAACCAAAACCACAAAAAAATAGTGTTCTCAATATGTTAAACTAATATATTTTTTTGTTAAGACATCTTCAACTTTCAAAATTATTCATATCAATAGCACATGAGTATCTTACGTAAGAATTCAGAACAAAACCAGAGTAACACTAAAAAGATATTAAAATTTTCAAGAAGGCATTCTAAACCTTACGAAATTAAGTTACACGAATTTATGTTCTGTAAAGTAATGAGGTAACTGATACGCTTTTTGAATTTTAATGTAACATCTACAGGAGTAAAAACAAATGTCCGTATGTTTTTTATCTATACATCTCAAAAAATAGATCAGGTTGTGGTCAAGAAAACTATGCAGAGCGTATTATTGCTAGACAGTGCAATGCTGCGTTTGTCACTAAGTTGTTATTTATTTAAAAGTATTAATCTCAATATTGTTTAATGTGGAAAAGGTATTATAAGGAACATAAAATGTTTGAATAAATATTTTGATGTTTCTATTCTTTTTAAAATTTAGCAAAATAACAAACGTCGACGGACGTAGCCGCGAGCGATAACTGGTTTCGAAAAAACTTAAATTTTATAATCGCTTGGTTTTTTATCTGTATGATCTACTTTATGTTTACTTGGAAATTACCACTTAATTTTAACTATAACCAAGCCTGATTCTGATTTATTTGTAATTATTTCCTAGTTCCTGATGCTATGCACGCTTGCATGCTCTGCATATATTATCTCTTACGTTACACCCAAGCTTGCAATCGTAATTTTTGCTTTGGAAAAATATAGTTGTATAATTTAGTAAAGTTTAGTCGATATAAGATCAGCCGTCATTTATAATATAGTAAAACGTTTTTTAAATCGTTGCTAGTTAAGGTTTGAACTAGACGTGACCATGTCTGTACCAAAGCAGTAATGTATCCGTCGTTAATACTAGTAACAGAAATATGTACATATAAACCAATAATCTACTTAGGTACAAACAGAATTATGAATAAAAAAAAAGGTCCAAACATTTCGTTACAGTAAAAAGTTCTAACATATTTATAACATTTATTAAAAAATCCCATAAATCACGTTGAATTCTAACTCGATTTCAAATAAATAACAAAATAACACTTTTTATAGATTCAGTTTGACTATTATTCATAACAGTTGTCGTAACACCGTTACTAGTAAATTAAATTCACGCATTCGCACAACCTTGTTGGATACAATCTAAACTAGTCGAACCCAATTAAATAGTTGTGTAACTTGATATCGCACGTGATTTTGATAGCGATATCTTTAAAACAAAAACTGTTTGTAGCTCAGGTTGAAACGAAAAAATAAATTTATATGTGTAATTCATAAATCAATAGGTAATATGTTCATAGTAATATTATTATATAATATTTGAAGCAAAATTTGTATTGCTATGAATGATTAATTTAAAAAATATCCAGATACTGTTTAAATTAAAAATAAAGATGATTAACAAAAATAATTGTAATATTGGTGGACGTGATAAAAATAAAATACATTTATTAATGAAAAAAATATATAAATAGATCACAGTAGGTAATTTCATTCTAAAAACATATTATTACTTAGTAAAATTGTTCATATTAAACATCTTATATATATTATCAGCAGTACGAACATGTTAATAATTAAAGCATCCATTGATTTCAATGCTTCAATGAGCCAACAATGACAATACATACTTAGTAAAATATGCGGGCTTGAACCTTTGCGGGAGCGGAATGCCAATGTCAAATGATTTGCAAACTGGTCCTTACTGTTATGATACACCAAAACTATTTGACCTTCATTATTATAAACATTCAAAGACACCCAAACAAAAGTTACATTGGTTAATGTGATAATATACATATTATCGATATGAAATTCATATAAAGAAAACATCGTAACAATACTCTTTGTTATAACTCTTGTTAATTTTTATGAGTAGTCCTCTTAACATGCAATTATGAAAGTTTCATTGGAACGTATTGAGTTTTGTAAAACAGTTCTCTGATTTATTTCTTGAACTTAATATTTATAGTAGAGAGAAGTGCTTCTAAAAATATATCTTCGACCGAGTCACTAAAAGGCATTGAAGCTTAAAATATATATGAACCTTTTTTTTATCTGTTAGTCTTATTCTTTTTCGTATTCTTGTAACTAAAATCTACTTTATACAATAACATTAACCGCTATACACAATTAATTGCTAATACTGTTACTAATAAAAAAATGTTATAAGTAATAAAGATTAATAATGTTTTGCCATTATCAGTTATCACCTTAAGTTCTGAATAACGTGTGTTGCTAAAGCTGCTATATTGTACGCAAATTACTTCTGTAAGTATACCAAGTAACGGTGTCTAATAAAATTGTCCAATGTGGCCCATCAATCGTCAAACAAACTACAAGTTGGCAAAACGTTAATCGCAAATGGTGTTCAGGTTCGATGACCTATTGATTTCTAATTAATTTTTATTTCATTCTACTGTCATTCAAAGTACTGATTGTTTCAAACAGTTATTTTAATCACATTAATTTTCATCATGCATATTAAAATTTCTTTGTCTCAAATATAAACTATGCATTAATTTTTATCAATATTATTACTTCTAAGAAACAATCAGATCTCTACTTTTGCTTTCAATATCAAATTTCTGTCTACTAATAATAAAAAGAAAGATCACTTCTATGACCTTAAAGACGCCTCAAACTATTTTTAGTACTAATTAATATACAAACATGTGTATTACACAACTGTGAATTGAATTTTTATTTTCATAAAGCTCTTTCAAGAAGTTATTATGTTAACATAGAAAACAAACATAAACAAAGCCAACACTTTAATCCATCTTCTACGTATTATAAGTTTTCTGAGAAAATAGTTAAGGGGAAGCCAGTGCTTAAGCTTAAGTAAGCTTCTGGTCTACTTTTGAAATAACTAACGATATACAGTTTATACTTATTCCGCTGTAGTTAAGAATTACAACTATAAAGTGTAATAATTGTTATAATTTATTAGTATTCAATTAAAATATATGCATCCATAAATATAACAGTTCAACCGCGACGTTCATCCTTAAAAGAAACCGTATAGCGTACTTTGAAAAGAAAGTAAAAAATACTTACATACTTTTTGAGTGGTTTGGAAAAGGGTGGCCCGTTTTAATATTTTCCAAGAGCTGTTAACGTCGTTTCACTTCTAACCGTGTTACACTAACAGCGGCACTAATCGTCCCATTTTTTGCTTCAAATCCAATAAGCGATGGTCAAGTTTTATTAAATATTTCAACATGAGTCACGTACATGGTAATAATTATTCGGGATATTAGCAATATATTGAATATCCAAAAACAACTGTGTCTGATGGATTCGTTTTATAATTACATATTTATGGAAACGCTTTTATTCATTTAAGTCCCAAATGAATTCGAATACCACATTGTATTTTATTGATACAACTTTACATATTAGTAAGTTACGTAAGTAACGTTTAAGTCTAAAGAAACATCAATCTTTTTGCAAGATTACACTAAAATTCTAAAAAGCTTTTTAATTTTTATATATTGATATTATTAGTAAGAAATTATAAATATATTTCTATCTGAAATCTATTTCTTGGAAAAGGAGTTATAATAAATACTCTCAACCACAACAGAGTAATGTCTAAATAAAATTAATATTTTCAGATGTACTATCGCTTTCATTGTTTCAAACTACATATCCTTATTAACTTGGTCATGAAGACCAACTGACAGACATTTTCATCTAATCTGCCGTGATCACGGTTGCTGCAAAGCAACCAAAACATCGGAATAATGTAGTTTAAAGTGATAAAAAACTTGATAGAACAAGCGACGTATGTAAATACGTTGTATGTATATGCGTTGTATGTGAATGATTATTCGTGAATCTCTAATATATTATTATAGGATAATGTCATATATAAATCATTTTCAGTATCATAATGCGGCGAACGATGCTATGATCCAAGTGTTGGTGGCGCTGCTAGTGACAGCCGCACACGCACAGCTACCACCAGCAGACGCGCCGCCCGTCGTCAACGATACACGTGAGTGAGTCTGTGTTGCCTGATAAGTTAATTATTAATTAGTTTTGACTTATCGAATCAGTGTTGCCATATAAATAATTAGGAATCTGTGGTCTCCTGTAATTGAAAGAGCACAAATTTCTATAATATTTAGTATTGATTAGTTTAAAATTGTAAACTGTGAATCTTTTGTTGGGGATCCTAAAATAAATAAATAAATATCATATAGGTATGTAGTTTTATCTCGTTGTGTAAGTTTTGCTTCTGCGTTACGATAATACAAGTTTATTATACTATCTTGTTGAATCAGTGTTGCTTAATTATTTCGATAACATTTATTTCTATCTTGTTAAGTAAGTTTTTCTTCTCAACTAAGATAATAAGAGTATATTCTTCTAAATCGTTGAGTAAATGTTGCCCGATAAGTTCGATATTATTTTGATGTAACTTGTTGAATCAATGTTGCTTAATAAATTCGATAACATATAGTTTTATCTTGCTAAGTTTAGATTTAAACTAAGTACGATAACATATTCTTCTATCGGGGTGAATAAGAGTTGGAAATACATCTCCACAATATCTTTCGTTTATCTATTGCATGTCACATTACACCACGTAACAGCCAGAGTGAAGTAAAAAGCGCTCAGAGCTAAAATCTCATCCTTTGACTGTAGGACTTAAATTCTAGTTCATTCATGTATCTGCTCTGCGGCGCTTGTATAGTAAACAGTAATAAATCTAGCAAATTATTAAACATGCGGCTGACATCTTAATTATTGTATATCTTATATATTTCAGATATCGCTTTATAGTTCGTTTTTAAATCACTTTATATTTCGTAATTAAATAAGCACATTGGATATAAAATTCATATTTTAATATCACCTTCTCCAATATTAATTTTCGTTGATCATAAATGATTTTCAAAAATAAGTTAAGATGTATAAATTTTTTTTAGTAATATTTAAAATAAATGGGAAAAATAGCTTTTTTATGGTAGGAAAGCACACAGGACACAACGCGTTTTATCTTTATGTGCCAATTGATATAATGTAAATTGTAAAGTAATACATCTATTTTCAAAATTTACAATTTTATTTAAAATATTTGGTAACCTTCATTTTTAATATAAAACATATTCTTCTATGGATATTTTTATTTTATTTCTCAAAAACTGTTCAAATAATTATAAAATATTAAAATTTTATCGACGTCTTCCGTTAGACACATAAACTACTTTCTTCTTATTTCTTATTTTTATGAAACTTGAAATTTGAACTCGATTTGCAATCCAATATTTCTTTTATTTTTATGATTATTGTCTCTAAAATTAATTTTATTCATATTGTTTATGGTTATCATCAAGAAACATTTGCAATAAATAAATAAGTCAACAAACTCAGTTGTTTATAAAACAATAAATGAATATAAAAAGACATTTTCTATAAACAATTCATTTGATCCGTGTTTAACCATTGACACAATGATTCATGACTGAATAAAACACAGTAGCTGTCTATTTGATCGGTGGGTCCCGTTAATTGAACGCACACTAATCTCATATTGCGCGCTTTCCATTTGGAAAGTGATGAAATTGAACATTAGTTGCACAAAATTTTAATAAAGCTGCGTATTATTTTCCGTGATAAGAATTTCACAATTACCTTGCGTTCAATTATATTGAATAAATAATTTATTTTCCATTGATATCTAGATAGATAACTGGAGTGAAACGATCTCTCATAGATACTTATATTGTTTAAGTGAAATGCCAAGGTTGAATCACATGGAATAGATGTGAACTCTTGCATTGTGTAGCAATAATGGCGTCGTAAAATATTTTATTGCACTAATTTTAACAGTACTATTACAAACCTCATACTAGACACATTGTAATTGAGAATAACCAAATAATTTTTAATGTCGAATATTTTAACATTTTTTTATCATCCTATCACAATATTCGAACTACTATAACTTTTATAATTTTTTAACACAAATCTTATTCTGTTTTTTTAATCATTCCGACTTAATTATAAGTTTCGTTTGGTTTAAATCATTATATATTCGACAGTCCGTACATTAAACTAATTAATCCGCTGTGGTGTCTGTTGTGTAGTGCTCTTAAATAAGTTAATAATTCAGGATGCGGCGTGGAGTGCGTGCGGTGCGGTGCTGATGGGTGCATCAAGTGTGCTCGTCTGCTCGTGTGGCCCAGTGGCTCGTGTGTGCTCGACTGCCCCTCAGGCACACGAGAGTCCTGGGCGCACGATGACCACCTCATGGGCCGCGTGTGCTATCCCACTCACACCTATAATGAAGTAAGTTAAAACTAAACTTTGTTTGTGTTGAAACTCGGCCGAACTCGACTCTCTACTAACAGACACAATGCACACTATAACGTGTATGCAAAACCACAGCTTTGATTGTGTTGTCCTGTTTGAAATTTTAGTGGAGTGTACATAAAATAATTTAATATATATATTCGATAATTCGAAAAAACAAATGAATCTTACAAATAACCAAATCTGTAATCGAATAATGTATTGTCAATGTTAAGGATGACAATTTTCTAATGTAGAGAAGAGGGTTGTGTTTTAAATGTATGAACATTTACATAAGATGTAGTATGTAGTTGCACAATGTATATAGCCACTAACTTCATGATAAATATAAACAAAGTATTGTCCCATTTCTATATTTTGTTTACGTATGTATCATATAAAGCTAAAGCACAGTGAAATATATGTATGTAAAATATGTATAATGCATACCCACTCCAATAAACAACAAAGAACAGCCTTCAAAGTTGCATAAAGTCAAAAGGCCACAGATTCATAAAAGATGATTGCAGCATTTTAAATAGAGTATCATTAAACGTTAGAAGTACTAGTTTAATAGTAGAGCTCTGGGAACGTAATATCACCTCAGAAACATACGATTAACGTCATTCATAGTACATTCATTTCACAGGCACATACGTAAAAGATAATTTGAAATGCAAATGCCGCTTGAGAATAAAAACTACATTCTAACAGATGCATAAGAGCAAAAATAGGTCACAAGTTCGGAATGTATGTTTCATAAACATTTAACACGTGAGCTCATAACTACTTACGGAACTAACAAACATTTTAATCAAAACTATTTTGAAAGATCTTCCATAAATTTGACATAGTTTAAATACGTCCTCGAATTACAGATTATAATATTCATAATAATTTTCCATATTAATTACGTTAACATACTTTTGTTTTCAAAGAAACCTTAACCTACAAATCAAGTTCGGGTATTGAAATATTGAATAATCCATATTCCAATAATATCTTAAATGATACATCTTCAATCTCATCATCCTTAAAAAGGTCTGCATAAAAGCTATCACTTTCTCCAAGTTATATTGATATGTTTGGAATGTAACAAATAATTCCAGGTATTGGTTGGTGGTGCCTGCGGGGTTGTAGTGTGCCTTATATTGGTTGCTGCAATAGCTGGATACACACGATGCAAGAACAATGCGAGAACACAGGCTCAACCTTTGCCTCAGCCGACTCAGGATGACGACGCCCAACTGAGAGAATTCCACAAACAACTTGACTGTTTACGAGTAAGTTCGTGAAGATACATTGATTACAATACAGTTAAATCACATTCAATCTCTTATTTTATTACCATGTTAATCTTTAAATATATTAAGCAAACATTTTAGTTACATATGATCATAGATAATTTATAATTATTATATTTCCAGTCAATTTTAATTTGAGTTTTTATTTCAAAGTCCGCTCGAACGCGGAAAGTAGCCGGTGAAGCGTGAACGAACACTAACGTACCGTGAAAACACCATGATAATATTCACAAAGAATGGCCACCGCGATTTGATATCCTATCTCACTTTCGAAAGTTACAAGAGCTAGACTCATTCCACTCTCACTCGTATAAACTAGTTCTATTTGCTAATCAATACTCAACCACACATATCGATTGAAAGTATAAGCTTAAACTGATTGATTAGAATTAATTGCTTTCATTTATTGAATCTCAGTTGTCACAGCTATAGACTTTCACTCAGTAATGATAGATTTGTTTCGTTATTTATATCAATTAATCTGTTGAGTGTTGTTAGATAATCGTTGAAACTGGTTTATTTTAACAAACAGGGCATATCGGCGATTTCATTTTAGAACAACCAAACTTCATTACAAATAAGAGTGCTATGAGTCATGTGCTATACTTATATTGAAAATCATATCTCTTTGTCCAATTTTTCAGCCCCATGCATACACTTTGTTGGCAATATTAAATCACACGAGACATCAAGTGCGAGAGCTCTATCAGCTTGGGAATAATGATGCTGCGATGGCTTATAGGTAAAGTTAAACTATGTACCTTTATAAAATATTATATACGTTGTTGTATATAAAAACTGTGGATATTACATCAATGAATAGTAAATACAATGTAGTTAATTACTAATGACGTCCTGATTTTTTAAGCGCCACTTATAAAACCAGTTTGATTTTATAAGCGATGCTTAATGTTACGATACTTTCGTGATTAAGTAACGTGTATATTAATTTACCGTGTAAATTATACTTCCGAATTACGTGAGTACATTAACATAAAACTTATATTATGTATGCAGTTGCGTGCTGAGTGATTTAGCAAAGCTGCTGATACTACTGAATAAACAACAAGTACCAGTGGTACCGAAGGAATGGCCACGACTTGCCGCTTGGGCTGATAGGTATGGTTTGAGATATGTACATAGATTTTTATTAAAAATAGTTCTTAAATCATTTATGGTTATGGTGGAAATTGATAGGCTGCGTCCCTCTTCTAGATTCTATCTATGTTTATAACAAATCTCTTTATAATTGAGATAAAAGAGCTTATCTCAGTAACAACCATAATAAGATAATTTGTAAGCCAGAAATTTCGCATATTCGACTTTTCACCGGAAGATATAAAAATTATACACAATCTTTGCTTACCAGATGATTATTTAAGTAAATAATAGTATCATTTGTCTCGGTATAAATAACTATATTCTAGATTTTCTAATATTTTATATTCGCGTTCGCAGAATCCTAAAACGGTACAGCCGCATGAACGTCGGGCAGCAACAAGAACGGTTAGTGAATGTCCACCCGTCATCGCCAAACCACGAATCGGACTCCGACACGACCCAATCGTTCACAACATTCAAACCACCGTCATATTCCCCAACGTCATACGGAAGCCACATTTTAGATAAGGATTTAGAAACCCAGATGGAATGGAGCGACACTGGCAGGCCACCGAGCTATTCCCAGATAGAAAGAGACAGCGAAGCTATCGTCCTCTCAGATCCATGGGAGAGGCGGCCGATAGTACGAAGAGAGAGCGTTTGGCTTGAAGACGAACTGTTTGAAATGACGAGGCGTCCCCAAGACGAACTTACCACAGAGCTATGACCATAGACAATTGATTCTATAATCTCATAAGTACAAATCTCATTAGGTGTATCATATATAGATATGTAGGATATATAAAAGTATTAATAATGTCAGTGGTGCTCATATAAATCATGAGAGCTGATCTTGTTATAGATTAACTATTACCTAAGTTGAAATATATACCACCTAATATATAAAATATTGTTAAGTAGCAGTCTAACGAGAGTTAAAAACTGTTTTTATTTTGTTTTTATTGTTAAGTACGTTATACTTGGAAAGTTTTAAAGAAATGCGACGCCTTTTGTAATATTTTTTTTTATATATTTCTAGAATTGTGTAATAAAAATGTATTGTTCTCCGAGACAAAACAGTACAGAAATAACATAGAATGGGAATTCTTTGATTCATTAAAAAACAAACATAAAAAAACCAAAGTAGGTAAATTATAAGTCTAGTCTTATCAAAATTTAAATAATTATGTCACGAACTTTTAATATCGTTCAGGAATAATTGGTTTCAAACTACTATTTAATGACAGCAAAAAGATATAAAGGTATGTGTATTTTAGACTTATTGACTAAGATTAATATCCAAGGATGTATTATGACTGTTGTTTTATAAAAGTTGCTAAATAAAAATGAGTGATTGCTTCCATTGATTTTTCTTTTGATAACTCATAATATTTCTTTCTCCAAAATAATCGTACCCCTAGTTCCGGCTGATATTTATAAAACATTGATTTGTCAAAACCCTTCAATACCAAATCCTTTCCGACTTGCAAACAAGACAAAGAGGTAGTATCAAAAAAGAAGATCAAAGAACAGTTACTTCCGTCTCTTTCAATGACTCTGTAACATTAAGGAAATTAATAAAACCAATATAACAGAAGATTACATAGGTAAGTAACGAGTTTATTTTATAAACAATTCTTAAACATCTTTTTTTGATCATAATAATATACAGTAGTACTTTATGTAAGTAATGTATAATATACATTACATAAAGACACTATTAATCTATAGACAACTTAAGCCTACCTCTCTAAGCCATCTGTTAAAATGTATGTTGTATATTCAAAAGGAATTGTGAAAGATAAAAATTTATAATATTTTCTCAATACCTTTCCCAGTATCACTTGCTTAATCTATAAGCAAAACTATACAAATCGTTTTTCTGGCAATTGCAATTGAAACACGATACTTTAAGACAATAATAATTAATTTACAATACTTATGATGTAAAAAGGCGTAACTAGAATTAGCAATTAGTAAAATAAAATGCTGTAGTATTGCAATCCTATTAGTTTATTTTTATACTACGTTCCCTTGAGCAAAGAAATTTCATGTTTTTGCGAATAAAACTAATGACATTAAGGATTGTATAAACATTTTTAGCAAAATTGTTAATGTAGACGTGATAACGTGTAGTTTGTAGAATTCTCCGCCATAAAAAGAACTCTTTAATGTCTATCCTACCTAGAGCCAATACGGTACTTACAACTGTCAATTACAGCTTTGCATCTGTCTGTGCGTCTGTCAATATATTATATTCAAAAATCGATATCAATAAATACAAACTCAGATTTCATTATACCTTGAAACGGTCAAAAATGCAACTTCTAAGTCAACGCAAGTAAAAGAGACAAACATATTTATTTTGGCTATTGTTATTCTTAAGGATATTCATTTTAAATTCTTTCAAAATATAAAAAGAACTTAATAGAAGGCAGAAGCAAAATTTAAAACCGTCACTAATTGTAACGCATGTTTGCTTTTTAAAATTTTTACAAACACGAATGTAAACAAAAACACATTGTTTAAATTGGGCATCTGCACCTTATTTATAAAAAGTAGACCTTTTAAATGGTGGCCTAGTGGTTAAGGGGTCCGCCTCTAGTTGCCGAGGGCGCGGGTTCAAACCTGGCAGGTACCAATGTGATTTTTCGGAGTCATATGTACTTTCTGAGAGTATTTAGACATCACTGATATACGGTGAAGGAAAACATCGTGAGGAATCCTGGACTTATAGTTTCACAATTATAAGTTTGAAATCACCAACCCGTCTTGAGCAAGCGTGGTGATTAATGCTCAAACCTTCTCCATGTGAGAAAGAGGCCTTTGCTCAGCAGTGGGCGTCTGATAGGCTGATGATGATGATGATGAAACCTTTTAAAAGACATGCTATTATCTGTATCAGTAGTAATAATCCTTTATAATAAAAAAACAAGGTATTTTTAAAAGGTCCATAATCAAAGGCCGTATTTTGTAATAGGAACTTCAAGTGATTATTAATTTTGTGTAAGAATTTTATGTTGATGGTGATATTGGTGTTGGTAACGAATATAAAAAACACTACATTCGTTATAATTCATACTTGACAATTTATGTTGCAGGTATATTTTAGTTAAAAGCTTTAATATTTAATCTGTTTTCCTTTAAAACTGACAGCAATCAAAGAAAAATCTAGTTCTTTATAGACCTTAAAAATGAAATACTCCTAGTTTTTCATAAATTTTTTAATGGAATATGAACAATTACATACTATGTTTTATTTTAATAGAAAGGTTTTTAGACGTTTCAAACATACATATAATGTCAATGTCAAGAACACGTCAACGTCAAATGCCTAGAACCTACTTAGCCAATCTCCACTCTCCAGTACTTCATAACTTTTAATGAAGTAGTGTGTTCTTTTAAACGATAAAATATAATTTAAAATGTAGCAGTTGTCAAATATACTAAAGAGACGACGAGATTTTGTCTCTCTTTCTGATTTTTAAAGATCGTAAACACTAGTTTAGCCCTGTATTGTAGTGTTAAAGAGCAAGTTAACACTAGTAATTAATACAAAATAGTACATACAGTGCTCTACAAACAAACAATAATTGCTAAGTAGTGCATCATTTCTACCATTTTTGGATGAAATATGAGAAAATGATTACTTTATTATAATTTCTATAACAAAACAGTAATTTTATCTCAAAAAAAGAAAGTCGAAATGTTCTAAATACATGAATGTTGACATTTTAAATCATCAAACAAGCTTTGTTCGTTTTGGTTTCATGAATATAACATTATCTTTGTTCCATGATCACTAGTTAATCTTCTATAATCCAGTATTGTTTATACCAATTGTTTTTCTAGATAAGCTGTAAACAAAACATTTAGAAATTCAGGATGAAGCACCTAGCAGCTTGGTAAGTTATATTAAATATTTTTTTACTTACACTATAAATATAAACTGTTATAATTTCTTCAATAAAAAAAAAATCCAATTAAAAAATATCTCAAATCTTATAAATTTTACATTTAAAAATCAATAGAAGAAATTTTATTAAATATACACACATTCAAATAAACTCCACATATTCTAATATATTTTTTATGCTTTTCTTTATTATATAAGGAAAATTGTATCTTTGTAAGTCATGTCTAGTTTAGCATAGTATGTGCAATGTATATAACTAATCAAACAATAATAGGATTTAAACAATGATACATTGTTATGAATAAGGACAGCACTTCCTAAACAGATGCTGTTATGAAAATTTATAAGTCTTAATGTATTAGACTTATACTACTATTAAAATTAATTTAACAGCTACAAAAATGTGCTAATATAGAATTAAAAATCCAAAATTTGTTTAACTCTGGCAACTCAATTTATAAAGCAATATTTGAATAAGGTTTTATAACAAGATTACAGTAAAAATATTTTTTTTATATTATCTGTGCAAATAGGGTTATGACATAATACACAATTTGCATGGTTTGTTTGGCTTCATGCAGTTTGGCTTCAAAGTACTATAAAATAATTCAACTAATGCCATTTTATGGGCAATTACAGAAATATAGAAATAGAAATATCAAACTGAAATTAAGTCTTATAGTCATTACTTTGATTGATACTACTCACTCGGATGTTGTAGCATTCGTTCCGAAAATAGAATTTATCTTTATGGCCGGTCTACAAATATCTCATTGTGGGAGAGAGATAACATAGATCACTATTTATAAATCTAACTCGATATTCATGGATTATTCTCACTCATAATACATATGGAATAATATATTTAGAATATACATTTCGAGACTTCGAACATTATGTAACATTGTATGAAATTGTCACATCTTATTAACATTAAGGCACATGTAAAAACAAAAAAGTATGGATATTTGCTATTTTATCAAATAATATTAGAATGATTATTAATTATTTATTTCAATAGTGTTATTTAATTTTTCAAACATTATGTGACATTGTATAAAATGTTCACATCTTATTAACATTCAGGCTGCAATGTAATAAAAATATATAAATGTTTGGTATTTGTTCATGACTTAGAAATGGAATGAATATTAATTATTCTCTACAATAGATATTATTTTTAAATTAAATATTATTTGATGGTTTTATATGCTGAAATAATACTTGTTAAGGTATCAGAAAAAAATCAGTTCCTATGACAAAGAAGAATGGGAGACGATGGTGGAACAGCTCCTGATGAGAGGAACATACAGACGTCGGATCATAGACTTCACGTCACATCCAAGATCATACTTGATAGATGTTGATTTAGTTAGAGGCAAGTTGACAAACATTATTACTACTTCAATGATAAAACAATACTCTTATACTCCTATACCAAAATAATATAGAAAAAACATGGAAATGTAAAGAAATTTAAATTTGATATCTTATAAATATTGTGTGTAGTTGTTGCAAAAACTAATAACGAAATGATGTCTCATAAATGCTTTAATTGTTCAAGACATTTTCGTTCCTAGTGTCTAATTTCTTCATATAATATTAACGACAATTTAATAGGACCAATTTGATGACAAACATCATCAGACACAAAAAGAATTATTAAATAATTTTATAAGCCTATATAAGTTTTGCTTAAAATTTATAAAGATACTATAAATAATTATGGTACTTTTTAAACATAAAAAGAGTTTGACCTATTTTAACATTTTAATGCCATTGCAACGTTACGTCTAAGAGTATATAAGATAGGCCATATAATATTATCCAAAAAAATATACGTGTTTTATCTCAATGGCAGCAAAATAACTCAAAGTATAAAAAGACACTTATAAGTCATATTACGTGTGATACAAAATTTTGTGGACTATGTATAAAATATGTACTAATATCCATATATGACAGTTCCTTATTCTATAGGACATAGTTCTTCATAGTGCTATTCATATAATATACGTTGTACTCATTTATGCTCACAAAAAGTTCACTATGGTTTATGTCTAACTGTTTGTATTGAAACCGCAATAACAGCTTTCATTAACATTATTTACATCAAATACGGGCAGATACGAATAGTTGTAATTAGTATCATATTAACTTAAATCGTTTAACAATTAAGGTTTTTCCTCTTTAAATTATTCAACTAGTTATTTTATTTATAAGTTATAACATCTGTAAAAAATCAAAAAGTATGAAGAAGGTAACGATTTAAACAAACTATTTAATAATGTTCACGTTAAACATTTATTTATTATTTTAAATCTTAGTATATAAATAGTAAGCGGAGCTAATATTAATCGTCATCACAAAATTGTAGTTGGAAAACCGGAACAGATTTCTGGTTTTAAAATAGAGGGTATTCTTCATATAAATTTTTGGTTTATTATACAGGATCATCATTTCCCAAAGCAAAACCGACACTTGGAGTGCGAAGGGTCGTATGGTTTGCGTTGGTACGACTCTTCTTTCTACCAGCTCTATACCAATGGTGGGCTCAACAAACATCACCGACTTGTGCTAAATTCCTACTAGCACTGTGGCTGTTGCAAGTTATAAATATTACCATAGCTTTCATAGCACCGGTTTCTTTGGACATTGATGTAAGTAGCTGATTATCATTACTAGAAATTTAGTACAACATTAACAAGTCGATAATTTAAAGGACTTTACTGAACTAAATGAAACTAATATTTTCGGATTTACAACGCGATTTTTTTTATTTTTGACTATAAACTACATAACTATAACAACTACTAAATATAGTCAAAAATATAAAAAAAAACCACGAAGTTTCATTTCAATGCGATTACGCACGAAAAACTTAGATCTCATTATGTGAACCAATACTACCCAACACGTTGTCTATTTTAATCGTATGTTCAATATTTAGATTTAAGTCTTAATTTAAATTTATGTCTTTAATTCCTGTATTCTTTTCCTTCCAGTCATATTCATGGATAGTGCCTCTTGGTCTCATGATAGTGCTAAGTATAGTGCACTCACAAATAGTCAGTACTACTGAAATGGAACTGGCAAGAGTAAGACCTCGTTCGGCATATCGGAGGAAACTGCCGAGGTATATAAGGTAGCAATTATATTTATCGTTTCATTTATTGAAGAATTTTTTTTTTCAGTTTATAATTGTGTTTTTCCTATAGAAAAACCCGCTCGGACTGCGATGGAGGTAGTGGCGGCGGATCTGCTGAAAGTGGTGCAACTTCAAGCCATAGCAAAACTCCTCTCACGAAATCGTCCAAATTCAGACGAAGGCTTTCAAGATCAGATTCAACTGATACAGGGATACGGTATGAGATAACCAAAAAAAACATTATTTCGGCAAACATTATACATGACTAAGTTATGAAAGTTGTTTAGTTAAAAATTGTGATAAAATTATTGCGAAAATCAAATTTCGAGATTCTATTTGAAAATTGGAAGTTAAAAGGATGAGTATAATTCAAGTATTTTGTTGTATTGCTTTAAAGCCACGATCATTTTGAAACTAATACCTTACAGGAAACGTAAGAAAGAAGTAACGAAAAATAATGACACTGAAGTACATGCGTCCAAAGAAAAAAGTACTGCGAAATCAAAAGTTAAAGATTCAGACGACGAGGATTATATGTCCTGGAAAAAACCAGAAGAAACAGCGCCAGTAGTGACATTCACTCCACCACCAGAGGAAGGGAACACCAAACGCACATTTCGATACAAACCGAACATATTGACAAAGAAATACTTAGAATTCTTCAATGTACGCCAGAATTTAAATAGACCTATCTTCGCTGACGGCGACGATGGCTTTGAAAGTCTCAACGGATACAACTCGCACGGCAGCGACGGAGAAATCAGGAACAGAGAAACAGATAGGAAGCCACGCGAACAAATAAAGGAAAAACCGGTAGAGGAAAATGATCCAAAAATAATAGCGACCGAAGAAAAAGCAGAAAGTGCCAAAACTAACAAAGATGATGAAGAAAAATCTGTAGACCATGAATCAGATAGCGCTACAACGAATCAAGCTAAAAGAGTCGGCGTGAGATTCAGAAAATCATGGGCCAAAAACTCCGTCCACGAATCGACGGACGAAGATTACAATCTTAAAGCCAAACAAAAGGTAATATATTTGAATACCTGAAATAATTAAGTAATATCTAAATATATAATTAACTCCATGAAATGTCTATTCTTTACTTCATTAATTTCTAATAGGTTACAGAAGCAAGAAATCAGTATAAATCAGGTATTAAATGTATATGTGTGAGCCTGCTTCATTTGATCAATTATTTTACATTACATTTGGTACTTATTAATACTATATTTTCGGAGTACACTCGCTTAAATTACTCCCAAATATTGATTACATTAAAGTCTTGATTACTTAGGAATAAAGATGTTCAAGAAAATGTGCTTCATAGCAAAATCTTCCGGAAATATAGTTATAAATGTATGAAAATCTTGTAATTAATTAATTATGGTGTTTAGAAACTAAATAACTACCAGAGTTCGTCATCGGACGGTGAGTGTTCGGCTTCAGCGCCATCTATCGCTTTACCGTCACACCATACTATGTCAGACTGGGTTGGCCAAATTACTAACAGTAAGATATTTTCATATATTACATTGTATTCTAATAATATTACGATTTATTATTTGGTTTTGCATTACGAAAGAAATATTCTTATTTCCGACTACAGTATAGCGCTGACTGTTTAGTTATTTCGATTGAAATATTTGTTTAAATATGTGTTGGAAGTCGATTAAAAATAAAGATATACAACACCATGCTAAAATATTTTTTTAAATAATGTTTATAATATTATGTCCAAAATCAGTTTAGAAATTTAACTGTATAGATTGGCACTATAGTGTAGGTCGAAGTAATTTATGCACGAAATAATAAAGATTAATACTCAATGTCTAACATTTTTTCTAACTAATCATTCAATATTCAAATTCTCTGTCATTATAAAACCTTTGCAGGTGAAGAGAGCAGTTACGGATCTCAATCCGAAGCCGGTCACTCGGATGTATTTCATTACACGGCCGACAGTTCTTGGGATCCATTCGCCATTTTGGATCCTTCCAGCGACACTGGTAAATAACTTTGTATGCGTCAGATTAAAACATTTTGAAATATTGAAAACTATTATATCTTCTTCTTATATTTAATGTACACGTTTTTGCCCGCGACTCCGTCCGCATATATAACAGGGAAAAATATAAAGCACTTCACATTAATTAATATAGTAATCTACAACCCTTTTCATTTTAAAGAACCTAGATACAAATTGCAACGCCATCTGCCGTTCTGATGATTGTGAATCTAAACCATCTGGCGTTCCACTCAAATTCAGACACAAATTATTATCAATTATTATATTAGTCCAGCCGTTCAGGAAAAGTTTAGTGATATACATACGTAGAGTAGAATTATATCTTAATGTATATAATTCTTCTGTGAGTGTGTACTGTGTATGTCACTGAACTTCTCTCAAACGACTGGATCGATTTCGATGAAATTTTTTGTGTGTGTTCAAGGGCATCTGGGAATGATTTAGATTCACAATTTTGTCCGGTGGACAATGTTTTTTTAATTAATTTTTAATTTTTTATTAGTTGTTGATAAAAACGTTTTTTTTGACATTAGATTTGACAACTAACTAATATGTCAACCATTCTGTCGCAATTCAAAACACGGAGATTTATGGCTTTAATAGGTAAACTCCAAAAATATAAATAAAAAAACGTAACAGATATTTCTTGATTATAGGGCGATACGAAGTTCGCCGGGTCTTCTAGTACTATATAAATTGTGAAAATGTATCTAAAGACATATTACTACAGCGACTTCGTATTGTTCCCGCTACAGTTTCAGTCTTGATTTTTAATGCTCAGCGTTCTTCCAGTAATATCTTACAAAGTGGCATAGTCAATATTTATAGTTTTCAAATACAAGTTTATACTTAAATTTTTCCATTACAAAATTACATTCACAATTATAATCACTCATTAATATAATTGTAAGGATTATATCATATCATTAGCACGGTACAGATGGCGCCACTTATATATATAGCTTCTTTAAGATTCTTCCGTATTATTTCAGTGAAGTGTACAATGTGGGAGCGTGGCTGTACTTTGCGTGCTGAATTATCAGCTGTTGATATCAGTTGGTACGTGGTGGCTCGAGCTGAAAGAGCTATGTCTGACGGCGGGGTGTGGCCGGGACTTGTTATGGCGAGCCTCGTGGCTGTAGTATCACCATTCATGAGACTTGTACAGGTACATAGAGATGTGGATAGTAATAAAATAATTGATATTAGAATATCAAGTATCGTGCATTAGATTTAGGTTAAGATGGATTGAAATCATGATTGGATATTATTTATTTAAATACACGTAATCAGATCTCATAGCTATAGTGTTTCATAATTGGTGAATTAAATAAATAATTTATTATATAACAATTTATTAACTTGCGTTAATTACTAATCAAAATAGAAGAGTTCAAAACATTGTTATGAAGATATATGTGCTTATTTTTGTGTAGCAGCAAGTAGTAATTCTTACGGTCCTATTTTTTGTAGACGGCCCGAGTAACGGCCGCTCCTATATATTCTTCCTTATTTTCCATAGATGGCACTTTTAACTATTTTACCAAATGAATATTTTTTTAATAAATAATCATTTATGCACTTCTAATAAGTGTTAAATTTTTCCAGGTGGCTATAGAAAAGGACACACGCAGTGAAGATGAGCTGCAGAATATTTCTCTTATCAGTTACATTCCATCTCTTGTGGTCAATTATACTCAGGGCTCGATGGTTTGCGTTTTCAATGGAGCCCTCGGAGATAGCTTTTGGTAAGGTTCTACTTTACACTTATTCATTACATGAAAATCTGTTTGAATATGCGAGTGTACGTGCGTGCGTGCCTGCGTATGTGTGTGTGTGTGTGTGTGTAAACTGTAAAGTATCTTTCCAATTACATATGAGACTAAATAACAATACTACTTGTATGTAGTTGTATTAAGTATGACGCTACGTGTCATATAGAATGCTTTACCGGTTAGATGCCATATCGTAATAAAATTATTATTATCACAGATTAAAGTCAACTGGGACAAAGTAAGCATAAAACTGGCTAAATATATAACACGAAATTAACATATATTATGTTTCATTAATCATTTAACAACATATATACTACTTTTTATTCAGATTCATATTTGAGCTGAATTGTTAGTAAATGAAATAGTAGATCCATTAATTTCAAGCTAAAATGATGCATTTAAAAAACCTGTTACACAAACTGCTAAATAGTAAAATTGTTTGTACTTTTGATCTTAAATAGTGCGACACTAATTACGTTACTATTCTATATAACAATCCTTATACATATATGCTTACATAATGAGCATTTATTAACCATTATATATGTACTAAATATGAAATTATTATTTCAGGGAGATATCATCGAACGTACTATCATGTATATTACGTTTCGCCTTAAGTGCTCTAGTGTTCTTCCTCTTGGCGGTCGCTGAACGCGCTTACAAACAGAGATTCCTTTACGCCAAACTCTTCTCACATCTGACATCAGCGAGGCGAGCCAGGAAGTCAGAACTACCGCATTTTAGATTAAACACAGTCAGAAATATAAAGACTTGGCTATCAACTAGATCATATTTACGGGTGAGATCTTAAACATTATTAATTTTGAAAATTTCTTTGATACATGTGTAAATTGTAATAATTGTTATTTATTAGTCATCTTAAAATAGAAAGCTAATTTGCCGCTAATAAATCAGAACGACGATATCGTTTAATACTACGAACAAGGAAAAACTGAAAGAAATTAATATTTAAATGATAGAAATCTTACATTATATGAAAATGGTTTGAATTTAAATATAAAATTTATTATTTTATGATCTTGAGGCAGTACTTTTCAGGTATTTTTTTAAATGTTTATCATAAATCATTTGTCATCCTTACTAATATTATAAATGCGAAAGTAACTCTGTCTGTCTGTTACGCTTTTACGCCTAAACCACTGAACTGATTTTGAGAAATTTGGTACAGAAATGGAGTTGACCTTGAGAAAGAACATAGGATAGTTTTTATCCCAGACTTTTGAAGGGTTTCTTGGAAACGCGATATAACCGAACTCCACGCAGGCGAAACTGCGGGTGGAAAGCTAGTATTTTATAAATGATGTTATATTTTCAGCGTCGTGGTCCTCAGCGGTCGGTGGATGTGATAGTGTCGGCTGCGTTTATGTTGACTCTCACACTACTTGCTTGTGTCAGCGCACAACTATTAAGGGTAAGTTCTGTTATATTATTGTATACCTGTAAAATATATACATATATACAATGTATTGCATAATAATATCCTTTTTCACATTTAGGTACTTTTAATATATAGAATTACATGATTTATTGTTTATTCTTGTCATATATAAATAAAAAAATAATAGTTTTTTTTGACAATCATACATCTTTATATGCTTTTTATAGGTTTTACGTAAATATCTTAGGTTTGTTCACATTTTACATACTTTACAAAACTCGAAGCAAAAAATTAAGGAAAAATGTTTCTTGATGTTACATCTAAAATACAATAAGGAATTCTCAAACCTAAAAGATATTTCCTACATAACAACCTACCTAAAAGTTATATATAAATATTCAATATTTCAAGGACTCGGTCACACTTGAGAGGGGTTGGTTGTTAGAAGCTATGGTGTGGAGCTGTTGTCTCGGTATATATCTCCTTCGTCTACTCACGCTCGGTAGTAATGTGAACAGAAAGTACCGCGGATGTCTGTCAGCTATACTAACAGAACAGATCAACTTACATCTGGCGATAGAACAACGACCTGAGAGCAAGGAACAACTCACTGTAGCAAATAATGTGCTTAAATTGGCTGCAGATTTACTAAAGGTTAGTAATTAACATTTTTTCTTGAGACATAATTAAAATTAATATAATCAGAGTAGGAAAAATATATATTATTAAATAGACGGATAAGAGCAAGAAATGTAATGCCACTTTTTGACCCTGAAAATACTATAAGAATATGGTGAAGTTGGACTTAAATATACATGTAATTTTTTTGTGGTACATTTTTATTACGTATTACATAATATTAATCAGTAGAATATAGATTTTAACTACACGTTTTAAATGTTGAAACATTTCCTTTATACTCTACCATTAAGGTTTATAACTTTAATTTAATTTATACAAAGCAAATTGTATTTAATTTTGTTTTCACTTTCAGGAATTGGATTCGCCGTTCAAGATATCAGGGATATGTGCAAACCATTATCTTTACACCATAACTAAAGTTGTTATACTCTCCGCCCTGTCTGGAGTTTTATCTGAAATGTTAGGATTCAAGTTGAAATTGCACAAAATTAAAATTAAATAAATTGTGTAGGTAGTGAATACGATTCTTATGTAGTTCAATTTTAATTAGTTTAGTTCATATCTGATTTCGATATAATCTATGGGACATTTGAATCTTAATTATCTGTATTACCTAAATATAGTGTTGACAGAAAAATCGACTTACAATATTATTTTGGTAGGTTTCCGGCAGTAGGGTTATTAAGACAATAGTGTAGAAAATAATTTTAATTATAACTCATTAATGTTCCCTTCGGATAAAGCTTAAAATATAGAAAGTAGATAGAGAAATTTTATAGGAAAAATCTTTAATAATCTGATATAGATCTCATATACTAAGCCTAGTAATATTTTAAGAGTAATAAAATGGGTCATTAACAAATAAATTTTCTTTCACTATAATAAAATCAATATTTTAAATAAATGTATGCTTCTTTCGATAAATCATTTTTGTTATACATGTGTATATAATGTACTTTCTTCTTTTATCATATTCTACTTAATAGTAAAATAATTTGTCCATAATGAAATCTCTTATACTATCTTGCCATTAGTAAACTAGTTTTGTAATTCATTGCATTTACCACTCATTTTTAATACATAACAATTATACATTGACTACATACAACATACAAGTTTTGATCTCACCAGTTATATAGTAGATGAATTTTTATGAAAATATTGTTTAGTATAAGAGCATTACTTTATAATTTTCTATAAAAAATGTAGGTACAGAATAAGAGTTTAAGTATTTTTTTATTGTTCCTTTTCTTATAACAATATGACCGTAAGTGATGTAATGTGGAAACAGCTTATGTAATATGCATATAATCAAATTTTGTTCCTGTATAAAAAAAAATACTAACTAAAAAAAAAATAAGTTCTTTGTTTCCAATGCTTAGGATTGACATTTAATATTTTAAAGTCATTTTGATACATAATTATTGTATGTATCGGTGCTTATTCTGTTCTTTTTTATTCATTTAAGTGTAGTGTAGGGTTGCCTGTATAGTATGTCTTATCTCATAGGTAGCATCAAATGCGACTTAAATAAATTTTAATAAATCATCACGTCTTTCATTACCCATAAATATTATTTGAATAAATATAAATAAAATAAAATATTATAGCGTTTATACTGCAATTAATAAGAGAGACGAAACTTCTCAGCGTTCCATGGATTCACTGTGCGGGTGCCGGGTCCATCGCGTTGCAGGGAGAGGAGCTTCAACAGTGCCTGGGACTAGCGACCCAGGTGTAGGTTTGAGCCCCTATCTAACGCGCGTTATCCGCTCACCTCTACTGTCCAAGCTCCTCTCCCTACCTAACCAAATTTGAATAGAACCTACGAGGGTCAAACTGAAAGTTCTTAGAAGTGGCCACTTATAAACAATATAATAAAAAAATAATTCTAATATTTGAAAATAGAACTCTTTGCCAATATTACTGAGTATATATTTAATATATTTGTCATTTGTTTTACGATTTGGCGGCAAATTGAAAATTGCCTGTGTCACGTCAACATGAATTTAACACGAGAAAATTTTCGTGAAATGATTTTTTATACTTTAGATGTCATTTAAGTCAACAAGAAAGTTATGATAGACTACGATTGGCCTTTCACGATGAGGCCCCATCTCGTGCGACTGTTTACAACTGGTTTAATGAGTTTAAACGTGGTCGCACTAATCTCAATGATGATTTACGTGAGGGACGGCCTTCTACGGCGACGACTGAAGATAACATCTGTGTTGCGCGGCGTATGATAGAGACTGACAAAAGAGTGACCTATCAGCAGATTCGGACAAGCTTAGACATCGGTATGAGTCAAGTGCACAAAATCCTCCACGAACATTTAGCGGTCAGGAAGCTTTGCGCCCGGTGGATACCTCAATTTGACTAAGGCTCAAAAACTCCATCGTGTGGATTGGTGCCGTAAAATGATTGAAAGATTTAATGGAGGTGACTCAAATGCTAACAGGTGACGAAAGCTGGATATACTGTTATGATCCTGAAACCAGAAGACAATCTGCTTAGTGGGTGTGTCCTTTAAAGGAGTTGCCAACTAAAGTGAAGAGAGATCGAAATGCGGGAAAAAAAATGGTGGCCTCGTTCTTTGGAAGGATAGGTGATTTCGCAACAATTGTGTTAGAGGATCAAAAAACAGTTTCTGCAGAATGGTACACCACCAATTGTTTGCCACTTGTCTTGGAAAAAGTTCGATAGAAACGACCTCGCAGTAGAATTCTCCTTCACCACGACAACGCCTCGTCGCACACCGCCAAGCGAAGGATCGACTATTTGGCGACATCAAACGTTGAATTACTGGGTCACCCGCCGTATAGCCCCGACCTCGCGCCTTGTGATTTTTATTTATTTCCAAAAATTAAAGAAAAACTTAAAGGAAAGCGGTTTATGAATACTGAAGAAGCGGTGGCTGCGTATCGCGATGCCATTGAAGAGACCTCTAAGGACGAGTGGGCAAAGTGCTTTTCCCACTGGTTCCATCGCATGCACCGGTGTATTGACGTGAATGGACAATATTTGGAAAAGATATAATAAAACTAATAACTGGCTAATGTAAACAGTTTTTGATTTTGTAAGAACTTTCAGTTGGACCCTCGTACTAGGACTGCCTTCGATGTACGTTCCAAGAATGTATTAATGTTAGTTCTGGACAGGCCCAAGTCTTTTAGTAGGTTGTAGAGAGATTTCGCTGCTATACTTCTCGCTTCCACTTCTACCGCGTACAAATCCACGACAAAACTATTTCGAGTAAGTTCGTCATATTTGTTGACCTTGGTGGTATGGTCTTTGGGGATGTTGGTTTCCCAAGGAACCGTAAGCTTTATCATCACTACAATAAATACAACACAAGTATGTAAAACCATTTTAAAAAGTAATTTCTTTCATACTTTCTATTAAAAAAACTACAATTATGCAATGTAAATAAAAGAACCATATTCTTAAATTAATTTTATTTAACAAAAGAATATTATAAGAGGAACCATTTTAAGATTACCGTAAGTTGAAGAAAAGTAAAAGTAAATAACATTAACATTACAAAGTAATTGCTTCAATCTGTTTATATTGATTGACCAAGTGGTAATATTACGTGTTCTAAAAAAATTAAATATTCTCCTTATATATTACATAAAACGTTAAAAGACGAAAAATAACAAGTGTTGAACTAAAATAAGTTTATTTTTATATTAAACAAACAAATCGTTTCTTCTAATACAACTTATTTACTACTGAAATTCATTTATTTTACATTTTAATGACATCTTCTATACTTAATGATTTTAATGAGGTGAATTATCAGACTGTAGTCTTAAGATATATAAAATATATGTTTAAAAAAATCTTCCTAATATTTAGGAATATTTGGGAAATTAAATGAATATATTAGCTTCAAAGTGAGTAGCGTAAAATTTATGGCATGTGAACTGTGTATTTAAGAAATGATACATACAAAGATTCTTATAGTACATATATAAAATTAGTAAAAAAACGATATTAATATGAATTTTCAGCATAGCAGTCCTTAAACTTTTTATTATAGTAACAGTAGTTTTAAAAAATATTGATATATTGCAAGCTTATACAAGAAAAATAGATTAGAGACTTCAGTAATAAAACAACCAAATATTGTAATATTTGGTTTACAGTATTACAAATACATATTGGAAAATATCTAAGGAAGAATTCTCTAACAATATAAACAATGTAATGCTTCAAATTATTAACCATTTTTCTATTGATAGAATTATTAGTTTGTATTTTCTCGTAATGCTGTTGTTAAGCTGAATCTTTTAGAAAATTATTTGCAATATTGTATGTTTACAATAAGTCACCCTTCATATTATCACCATATACTAAATATAATTCTATTGCCTCTGTGAAACTTCACTGGGGATAGTCAAACAAAGATTTCAGCAACATTTATATAAACATATTGGTCAGATGCATAACATTTTTATTGAAATTCAACAGATTTACTACTTTAAACTGTCTTGTATAGTATAGTGGCTATTAAGACAGTCGTTGAGAGTATTTTCATCCAGCATTTAAATCCCTATCTTGTATTGTATATATAAGACTTAGATACAGAATGTTGTTAGCCATATATTATAAGTATTGAGTGTATTTTTGAATCATTTCATACAGGCATTTTAATCATCTTGTTTTCATATACATATATCCATGTTTATAGTATAGGTTGTTCATCAATCTCTTCGTCGTTCACGTGAAGTAGATCGGTACGAACGGCTGCGGCGAGCGTCTCTCTCCCGGTCACGTCGCTCACGGGACACTTCACGCTTACGACTACGGGAACGACTGCGTCTGGTGAACATTTATATAATATAGATAGTAACAGATTTAAAAATATATATAGGACATAATTTGTAAGGTAGATTTGTAGATGCAAGGGTATTTTTTCATTCAATATGAACCTTCTCACTAAACTTAATTAGAAACTTGTTCATACGTAAAAGTATTTAAGAGAGTATAGCTCCACTAAATATAAACAGTTTTGAAAGGGTGATGGAATCCCTATGCCACATTACACAAATGCAGATTTAGCATGAAATGATTTTAGAATTATTGATCATTTTTAAATATTGAACTATAAAATTTAATTCAGCAAATTTCTTGTTTAACTTGTGCGTTTACCATAAAACGTAAAATCTGTATAACATTTAATACTTTTGTTACGTAAAATAAAAAAATCTTGGTACAATATAAAAAATAGTACATATAGTTGGTAAAATATAGTACATATAGTTGGTAATTTCTATATATATATATTAGAAGATGTGTATGTGATATAATAGTCACCTCTTCTCTCGTTCCGCGCGGTCCGGTCGTTCCGGTCGCTCCGATCGTTCTGTCCTATCAGGTCTTTCAGATCTATCTCTATCTCTCTCTCTCTCCCTCTCTTTCCCCCTATCTCTATCTCTCGCTGTCTCTCGATGTCTCCTCGCTCGTCTGTCCAACTCCCGACCACCAACGTAATGCCTCCGCCCGCTACTCCGCTCGCGTTCGCTAGCACCACGTTCTTCACGACGCTTATCAACCGTTTTCTGTCAAAATACAAATAACAATATTTTCGATTATTCGATATTACATACAATAATTAATATACATACACAAAATTTTGATTCGTTTGTTTATATTTGAATAATATAAAATAAATCAGAACATAAACGCCCCAGTATACATAGTATATTAAATTTGTTGATTTTCTTATTCTGTTAAAGTTGCTTACTAAAATAAATTTTATAATTTTCTTCTTGACCATAACTATGATAACCAGTTATTTATTTATTTACGCATCTATCTATCTATAGAATCGATATCTTTAAATAATGGTAGAAATATACATATATGATTTTAAATATAACAATATTCTTGTATATAATAATTACCTTCAGTTCGTACAGTTTCTCCCTGATGGTAATGAATCCCAGATGTAGTTTCCCACCGAAGTGATCAGCTAGTCGTCTATCATTGTCGTGTATGCCAAGGTAAGCGGAGCAAACTTCACACACTCTCAGCTTCTGTTGTTGGTAAGAGGAGGCCGGCATTGAGTTGCGATATTCCTGTTCGGCTATTGCTTTCTTCTTACGGAGCTCGTCAATCTGTTGGTTATCATATAATAGCATCAATATTATATAATTATAATGCATATTGAAATAAGATAGGTAAATCTATAATGTAACAAAACTGATGATTATTTCTTTGTTGTGTTATGTATCTTGTGTTATAGTTAAAATGAAACTAATATTTTCGGATTACTACCCTTATTGTTTCTTAATGGAGATCCATTAGTTAGATAACTAAGATCACGGTTGCTGAAAAGTAAACGAAACAAAGGGAGTATGTAGTTTTTAAAAACAATAGAATAATGCGTAGTAATCCGAAAATGTTAGTTTCATTTAATTTAGTACTCGCAAAAGTCTTAAATGTCATCTGTGTAATAACTACCATTATGTTTTAATCATGTCTAATCTTGTATATATGTGTCATGTTAAATCTTGACACCTTATATATACTATAGTTGTAGTTCCACTAAGTATAACAATCTATAATTACCTCTCCCATAAGTTTAACACTCTCTTCAACCATCCCCTCTTCCCCCAGTGCCTCAGCTCGAGCTAATTTCTGTCCGATCTGTTCAGCCAGTTCATGTACAGCATTAGCTTTCTCGGTAACCTCAGCTGATAATTCCTCTTGAGTCTCAGCCAGGCGTTGCTTAGCGGAAGTAGTACGACGATCACAATCAGCTATGAAAGCTTCTAAATGTTCCGTAGCCTATTGTAGACAGAAATTTATTAATTATGAATATCAAAACAAAACTTTACATTTTGAGTTACAAGTTTAAGTCAAACTTTATGTGTCCAATTGTATTTATATACATACATTATCCTCATTGGCTGTCTAGAATTATTAATGTATAATATATGTTACTCTTAAAGACACAAATATTTGCTATTGTAATAAATATTTCTTATATGGTATACTCACATCAATGTCATAGAAATAATCTTTACTTTTTGACGCCAGTTCATAGTCCGCGCGCAGAGCCAGATCATGAATTTTAGGACACTCACCTAGATCCATTCGCTGCAATCAAATCATTAAATAAAAACATGAGCTCTGATATAAAAGTTACACTAAACAATGAAGTATCAAGATACAATGGTTTTATTTTTTTATCATTTTCATATTCTGAATAGAAATGTTTTTTTTTATATCTTAATTTGCTCTTTATTTAACATTTGACAATGAAGAACATTATCTTAAATTTATTATGAAAGAATAACATTGAATCCTTTTATATAAATTATGTTACTATTATTTATTAAATATTTTATCTTCATAAGACAAAATATAGTACTTGTAACATACTGTGAAATGAAATTTAATTAATGATAGTATAAAAATTTGCAACCATACATTTTTTATATGCCATTTATTTTTATCAAATGCTATATATTTCTAAATCAATCGAGAAACATTGTAGGACATTATGAATATATAAAAAAAAATGTTTGTGTGAAGACACTTTAAATAAAACAGAACCCCTTAGAAAACCAAGTAAAATTGTATCAGAAAATACATACAATGTCACCAACACTGCTCATCCTGTACACCAGCCAATAATCCATATTAATACTTACAAAATCTGGTAACACTCAGTTGACAAACCTAACCAGCCCTTGAACAATCTCATACATTCAATACACCAATTTCTCACAAAAACTCTGATACAAACACTTGAGCTATTGAAACACTTCAAATCTTATATAATTTATATTAAATTCAGATATAAATTATATTATTATGAACACTATCAAAATCAAGTGTTTTAATCAGTTCATACTCATGTTTAATTATGTGTAGTTTTCCTTGAAATTCTTTGTACAAAGTCTTGTATTGATTGTAGTTAAATAATTGGGATAGATATTATGTGAACTGTTTGAAATCATTGATAAAACAAAGAAAATAGTTTCGCCTACATCAATAGTATCATTAGTCGTTTCTTACAAATAACTTCTTTCTTATACTTGAACAGTTTATACCAATAATTAATAAATAACATAATACATTCATAAATTTTGATAGTTATTATGTGTTATAATTATTATACATGCATTTTGTCTAATTCTCTTCATATTCTAGCCATGGAAACAGCATGGTACGTACCCAATGTTGTAACATTATGAATCAGCAAAATGTTCTCCCCGTCAAAGATTTTTATATAATTTTTTACAAGTACTCACCACAGCAGCAATAGAAACCGATGAACAAATAATAATTTTTTAAAGCCTGAGAGAGTATATTAAATTAATTTCCTGCATAGCAGTAAGTAATACAATCAGCTAACTATAAATGTTTTATACGTACATCTTGGTACTTACAGAACAGCCTAACTCATACAATCTATCCCTCATCTGTTAAGTATTGTGATGAGCAATAAAGACTAGTGTTGGGCATTGTCTGAAAAGCATATTTCACCACAGTTAATGCCACTCCGATGCAATGTCCTAGGGCTAGGATAGATCATAATGCAAGGTATGATTCAATGAAAACATATCACATATATTAGAATATTCGGAATTTTAATGATGAATCAATTCATAACACAATTTCAATATCCTAGTATATATGATCGGAAGAAGAACACTAAAACCCATAATAAAATCTCTGAGATATGCAATTTTATAGTAGACATTTCTGACGAGATTACCGTATAATTTTATGTGATTGAAAATTGTATAAATATCTCAGAAATTCGAAACTCCCATAAATCCAGTATAATAAAACTATAAAACTCACCGTAGATGATAAGATTTCGTGGGGACAGCATTGCAGTAAAAACGATTTGCAAACCGAATCATCATAAAATTTCACTCCGTGCCTATCTGTTTCACCTATAGAAAATTAATAGAAATAATAATGTTAAATTATTTTTCATCTAATATTAAAGGACCTAGAATCCAGTAAGAAATAAAAACAAACCGTTACGGGCAGTTCCCATTAATTGATCTAGCATTGCCCTCATTTGCTCGTGGGCCGACATATTGTACGAAATTTATTTTTCTAGTTTAAGACTATCTCATCAAACAACTCCTAGGACATTATATGTTTTTATATATTAGGATGACGTTGAAACGTCGACAAATACACACAAGCACGTCGGAGTACCAAACCAAATTTAGGAAATAATTAAATCGATATAGAAACTAGAAATGGCGCTTCGTGTACTATGCGTGCCAAATGGCGACTGTCAAACGGCCATTTTAGTTCTCATTTTACACGAACTTCAGTGCAGTTAGTAAATGTGGAAAACACATATCTTTACTTTATTATTTAAATAATAACTTATTCATTTATACAATTTAATTGCTAAATAATTTATTAAATAAACTCTTTAATCATTTCTAAAAATATGAAGCGATTGTTATTTAGCATTTACTTTTTTAGTATCTTTATATGCTCATATTTTTAAAATTACGTTTAAATAAATGGAAATATATTTGTAGTTGAAAAAGAATAATGAATCTTCGAATTACAGTGTAAAATAATGTATACAAATTAACTTAATTTTTTCGGCAAACTGTCAATATGATTTAAGAACCATATAATATGTCACTTTGCAGTTGTAAACAATAAGTGCCTCAATAGATATCTACTTATCCTATAAATTAGTTTTTTTATTCAACGACACTTGCTATAAATATTGAAAAAAATTAATTAAATTTCGTTTAATTCGTTTATAAATACATGTTGTACAATTGTATTCGTCACTAATAATCATGTTCTTCTAGAAAGACGAAAAACTTTTAAAGAATAAACTAGGATAAGCTATTGCTAAATTTATTACTGAACAATGTCGCCAACAATCAAGATATTACTGCCCTCATTACAAAATAATTTAAAGGAATTAATTTTAAAAGGTTTTATTAAGAGAGATGAAAATACTATAACAGTTTTTATAACTACATTTTCTAACCAATACATATTGGAGGGCTGCAAAAATAATTCAAACATTATTTATGGATGCGATATAGGGAATCGATCCCGTAATAAGCTTAGACGGTATCAAAATAATTTCACCATAAATTTAGACACTGGTCCCGTAACTGTTAATAGTTTAGTAATTGATGGTCAAATAAAAAATCTAAAAGAGAACTGCATCATAATGTTATATGAATACCAAAAAATGAAAAAATCGGAGACAATTAGCAGCAGTGATGAATGTTTCTCGACATTACAAAATCTTATTCACAAGGAAAGTGAAAGTCCCAATGATGCACCTATGCCTGAGCCAACATTTCAAATCTCTTCCTTTTTAGGATCATGTATGTTTGCACAACATGTGTATAATTACTTTAATTTGTTAAAATGGCTTTTTAATACAGTAAAGAAAAAAGAAAAGGTATTTATTTTTCATCATTCCACTGAGAAAGTCATATTAATTAAAAATTATTGGATGCAAGCTAACTTAAAATGCCAATGTTATATACAATATACACATAAAAAAATATGATTTATGAAATTTAATTTAAATATGAAACATTTTAGATAACAATAAAACAGAGAAACCTAATGTTGGCGATTGTTGGAGATATAATTTTAGGGTATTTAGCAGTTGAACTATTAATGTTTGATAAAAAATATCTTGGAACATTAATCCTGGGGATGTTAGAGGTAATTTTTTTTATTTTGCCTAAATTATGATATGTACATAATTTAAAAATATTTTTTCTTTCAGAAATTGGTTAATCTTATGTATTCTTTGTTGAAATGGCTTATGGGTGCTCCCGCTGGATTGAAATTAAATAATGCATTTAATAAAATGTTAGGGAAATTTTTCTTATATCATGTTGAGTTATGGTGGTTGTTTTTAGGCAAGTATTAACTTTGATAACATGGCACTTTATTTCAATATTCCGTTCTTTGTTTATTCAGAAATAATTACATATTTTGCTGCACATATATTTTATTGTTTATTATTTATTTCCTTGCAGATGTATCCAGTGACAAATTAGATATCATATTAAGTGTGTGCCAATATTTGGGTTATCTGGGATTTACATTTCAGGCTGCCATTATATCTGATATGATATGCATGGCGACATTTCATTCTTATTGTATTTATATATATGCAGCAAGGTGAAAACATAAGTATAATATACATTTTCTGAAAAATATATCTACTTTTAAGGCAGAATTCATATTAAAATTGAATTCACAATTCTTTGTAGGTTGTTCAACATTCAAATATCAGGGTTAATAGCACTTCTAAGGTTATTTGTTGGCAGGAAGTACAATCCATTGAGAGGTGGTGTCGATTCTTGTGAATACACTAACCAACAACTATTTGTGGGAACTGTTGCATTCACTATTTTACTTTTATTACTGCCAACGACTCTTATGTACTACATTGTGTTCGCTGCAGTATGTATTTTGTGTAATATGGATATATTTTTAATTGGCAAAAATATGTATAATAATTATAAATTTATTTTTTCAGTTTAGAATATTATCATTGTTATTGCAATTTTTATTATCAAAAATCATATATGTTATACAAACGATGCCATATTATGTACTTGCACTATGGATAACAAGGTCTCCTAAAATATCTGGTAAAGTATCATTATTTAATAATTTTTTTAATAATAAAATTAAATTTAATGTGTTTAGTTTTGCTATAGATTAATCCATGTTTAAATACGTTTACTTTTTTATTTCAGGTAATATTAAGATAGAAGAATTAAAGGGTCAAAGTCAAACACTTATTCTTAAAATTAAATTACTAAACAAACCACTATGTGAATTAATGGACAATTTTAAACCACCGGTTCAAGCATTAAAAAATATAGAATTCAGCAAGACTGTTTCAAATGTTATCACTGGCAAGCAAGTGATTTAAAACTATAGGATGAAATAAAATATAATTTATTGCCTCAACTTATTTTTATTAATTGCGCACAAAAATAAAAATTGTCTGGTCATCACACATGTGAATGTATAAATGCTTAGTTAAACTATTTTGCAGACTGGGCAATTTTACAATATAATTATAAAATAGAAATGTACACATTCTATGAAGGCCGGAACAACCCACTCAAACAATTTTCGACTAAAACACGGCTGTACATGAATACTAATCATGTTTGTCAAAACTATAGGTAACATTTACTACAAAACATCTTGTGATAATTTGAAAATAGAACATTACAATTGGAAACATCTAGAATTCTAGATAGTAAATTCTATTGGTCTTATTGCTACATAGATTATTATACAATAGTTGTTCTTATAAAAAAAAACCGTAAATGAGTTATTACAAATAGTCATCAGTTTTCAGAGTAATGGTACTTGTGTACAGTAACATTATATAAATAACTGATTTTATGTATCTTTTTAAAAATACCTTAATCCCAAGAGGCATGACAATATGTTCATAGTGTGCTAAGATTTACACAGTTCATGTTTTACTGGGCAAGACTTTTTACAAACAGTGTTGTGTTTGCCTTTTACAATAATTCTTAAGTATACAAGTTATAGACAACTAAGGCACAAATATCTATAATTTTAAACATAAATCATGTGATAATCCATTTTCAACAGATCATTTAAATGAATGTATTTTAATTCCTGCAGAAGGGTTAGTTACATATAATTTTTAACACTAATTTAGTAATCATGCTACATATTCATCAAAATGAGATATATGCTAGAAATGTTTTAATCTCACATATAGTTAATTTACGAACATTCACATGGAGTTAGTCTCAAATAGAAAAAAAACATCATGAAATTTAGTATGATTTAGTTAAATTAAAATTTATATGAAGAAAAAACATTTATAAATGAATATTATTACCAATCTATATAAATAAGGATCACACCTACCAAAACACTTTAGTTCATAAATCCTTTTATTATTAACGATTTCATATCTATATCTAGGTATATACAAAAAATATTACTCAAAAATATATATAATATATACTAACCATATATGATATATTATATGACTGATAAATGAGATTTTAAACATGAGCCTTAAATCGAAAATTGTTTGCACATTCAAAATGTTCTAGAAACATCTGTTACCTGACCACAGCTAACAAATATTAGACACAATGACGTCACAATGTTTTTTTATGTATTATGCCGAATTATCTATATTAAGACAGTATCTTAGTGCATTAAGCAACTTGTGCCGTGTTAATGTCTCCGGTGGGTAGGCCAAAAAAAAAGGTTTTTACATATTAAATTATCTATTTTTTTTTTTTCATCACAGATATTAACATTAGGAAAGTGTGATACCAATCACTTAATGTTCAATGAGAATCGGATATGAAGCTTTTATCCTTTTTTATAGTAAAAAAGAAAACTATAAGTAAGAAGCTAACGAATTTGTAGGCAAGTCTTAGTTCTTGAGTACACACCTGTAGTCCTTATTGACGTCGGATGTTTGGTTTGGTGTCTCTTTAGGTCTAACAGTACCACGACACGATGCTAACTTTGATTCCAAAGCCTACAATGAAGAAAATTTTACATGAATGATGTTAATATTAGTATGTGACGTAACACATGTGAGTTAAAACCTTCACCACTACACTAATGCATACATATTATACCACCTACATATTACATGGTATGAGGCATTTTTGTTATGTTAATCTATTTATAATCTATATACAAAACAAAACTAGTTTGTACTAAGATATACTAAAATATCTAAATACTACTTAAAATACGGAATTATTTAATTTCATCATTTTATTAATAATTATATTATTTTTATACTAATAAGAGTTGCTACACACAAGGGTATGTTTACATGACAAGTAAATGATCAGGGAAGGTGTTTTAAAATAAAACAAATTTCATATATAATGGAATAACCAATATTTTAAAACAATCTATATCATGCTTAAATATATTTAAACAGACTAAGATTGAAAAAATAATATTATGAAAATACTTACACGCGACAAACAAGCCGTGTCTATCCAAAGTGACTAAAATACATAAAAAGCATTAGTGTAGCAACCCTTATTGTATATTTAAATAAATAAAATTATAAACATTTTTATTTCATTATATTAAAATTGTTGACATATAGGTTTCCCTTTTCCTTGATCCTGAACCTTTCTTGCCGATGAGAAGTTTAACAAATTCTCTATTCCTTCTCTCGATCTCACTATGAATGATCTTCTTAATTTCGCATTCTCATTATTGTAGGATCTTTCGAATGGTTCGGAACTTTTTGGTGTTAATGGCATTGTTTTGTTAGCCGTAGTTTTTGACTGTTCCGATTTTGAATATTGCCGCGTGAAATTCCCTTTTCTGTACTCAACGGAATTATCAATATTATTTATAGGATCGTGTTCATGGACGTTCGTTTCCAGAACATTGTTTTGTTGCTCGGTGCTGACGTCACACGAACATTTGACCTTACCACAATCACGGCAAAGAAATCTTTCAAGCTGCAAGCAATAAACATGCATACTACTACAAAATACGAACAAACATGCCAAACTAAAAACTACATGCCAAAAATATATATTAAAAATTGTCTAAGATGAAGTAACGTTACAACTACTTAAATTATGCTATAAATTCACTAAATAACCCAACTAATGGTCGTGTAATAGCTTTGAACTTGGTACAGGCAAAAAAAAAATTATGCATGCTTAAGTACAATTCAAACAGTTCTATAAGAACTGAAACAAATTTCTACTTCTAATTCATGAATATTTAATATATACAATATTTTATAAAATAATTTATTTCTAATAAAAACTTTCAGTATTTGATTATAATTACTACATAAATATTATTTCAAATATTTATAAATATTTTTAAAAAAATATCAGGAATATTATTTTACTAAATATAATATACAACATATACACATACAATATACATAAATTAATTAAATATTACATAGATAAAAATTCTTAGCATACAAAAATATATAAAATAATACACTACTGTACATTAAAAGTAGAGAGCTAGTGTGAATTATACATTAATTTTGATTCCCGTTCTAACAATAACTAACACAACTATCGCTAACAACAGTACTGTTATAATATATTTAAGACTCACCCCAACTTTTCTGAGCAGATCTCCGACAATGTTAATAGCAGATACTCTAGATGATGGCGTCATAGCATTACCATTCAGTTCACCTAAACATTTTGTATATTGTTTGTTTAATATTCCATATTTATTTATGCACAACATATTATATATAATAAAATTTAAATTTATTGGTATTCAGAATCAATGAACTTATATCTCATATAGATCTTACCAGACAATTTTAATAATAAAAATATTCATAATAAAGTTCAGTTTGATTTAATTCTTATAGATATAATATAAAAAATTATATAATCGGGTTATGTGAATGAAAACATATTTTTTTGATGTTATATAGTAAGCATAACATAATAATTACGTTTCGTTGGTGCAAGTAGGGAAGTCTGCGTTTCTATTTCTACTTGATTCCTCGTTGTATGTCCGTTACAAATATTTTCATTTATACTGCTATCTTCCTTCTTACAAATAGGATTTTTCTCTATAACTATTAACTCTTGTTTGAGATCTGTAACAATTTATAACATATTATATAATTGCTATTTGTTTTGCGTTTAATTCAAAAAATAAATGTGATTCCTTCATGTATAATCAAATTGTAGTACATAAAATATAATTTATATACAAAAAATGTTACATACCTCTGGCTTCATCTGTAGCTCTTTGCAGTTTTACCTTCAAATTCTCAAGTTCATCAACCTCACTCTCTAACACAGCATTGCGTTCGTAAGCCTGATTTAATAAAGCTTCTATACACGAAACGGATTCTGATATATATCTAAAAAAATAATAATAATTTTAACTGATATATATTAAATCATTTACCAAAAGCAAAATAGTTTTCTAATTTTTATCCATTAGTAAATTTGTAATTAAGTAGCGAGGTAAAACACTGATTAATTAAGTAACACATTCCAATATGAATTAATTATTTTAAAAAAGCATTATAATTACATAAATATTAATGACAAGTATTTCCTGGTAGGAACAAGTTATACAATGTAATAAAAAGTATTAGCATATAGAATAATCATCATTGATGAATATGACTTTCTTTTTAAAAAAATATTTATTGACAGACTGTGATCAAATAAAATAGATGTTATGGATGATATAAAACCTCATTATAAAACATTGTTAACAAAATACTAAGGAAATATAGACAAAGTGTTTTAATACTTACCGTTGTCCTCTTTCCAAATCATCATTCTTTTGCTCTAATTCTCTTATATATGTAGCCTGTTTCTCTTTTTCCATTTTGAGTGTTTGTATTTCATTTTCAAGTGCATTTGTTTCATGTTGACTTCTCTCTAATTTGGACTAAAAAATAAAATATACTTGTTATTTAAATAAAATAAATATACTAACTTTTTTAAATGTCTTACAACGTTTTCATAGTAATTTATAGAATGACTGAAATTTGTATACAAATAATATTAAGTAACAATTTGGCGTAATGTTTTGATGTAAACATATTTTCGTAATATCTGAGTAACATTATGCAGCTAAATGATCTCATCTCGCTCAATAAAAACAATTAATGACACACGCTTGAAAGATCGAGTTATGACATTTAAAAACTGAATACAACGTACTTTGAGCATATCGATATCGTTTTTGAGCCTCAGATTTTGATGTTCCAAATCTCTGTTTCGTTTTTCAACCCGAACCAAGGACGCGTCCAATTCCTTTTCAAGCTGAGCTGAATTTTCTGTATACTCGTCCAACTCTTGCTGTATATCCGTTGCCCTACAAGTTTAAATAAAACAATGACAATTAACTACAACGTAAATTTGCATACAAATGTCGAATATAAAGGATGAATTTATTACTTCTGTTCGTAATGTTTTGCTTGTTCCTTCCAATATTCCACCGTATCCAATTCTGCCTGATTTGGAGATTCCATGTTTGAGAACTTCGATATTCGATGTTTAATTTCCTCACTGCAATGAATTGACGAATGGAGGCAAATATTTACATGAGGTTTAAGACTCTAATTACGGAAATAGAGGAAGTAAAAAAATATCGAATCTTTTCTTGTATTTTCAAAAATCAGCCATTATAACTTGAAATGCAAAATATGTTACATGACACACTTCCACAATACAGTTCAAAACAAGGCTTTCAGAGATAAGACAAAGACCACAGATAAAAAGAAACATTTGATTTAGAAACAGCTATATCCACAGATAGCACACTTAAATAAATCTAATACAAACGATTATAACAATTTGCTAAGTGTTGCCAACTCTTATCAATATGAGATTCAATATCAAAAGTTCTTTGAAAATCGTTACAACCAGTTATATCAGGCGTGGATAGAATATTGTGGTGGAAAGAAAGAAAGAGAAATAAATTAATTATATTGAAAGTTCTTAAAGTTGTCGAATTGTCTGTACTGTTTTTTTTAACCTAAGAAGAAAATATATATTTATAATAATCATTAAATTTATTGTGGGTAATTTATTTACTCCGTTTCTTCCGTCTCTAAAGTTCTTATTTGCAAAGTAGCGTGTCGTACTACAACATTTTATGTCAAATAGATAGGTAATCAGAATGTCAATGTCAAAGTGATTATAAAATATAAATCTGGATACATAGTTATAAGAATTTGAATTCTAAAAAGTTTGATTATATTATTAATCAAATGCTGTAACACATAATTATTATGAAGTTTTTAATTGAACACACTAAGATTTTGAAAGTATTCTTTGCTAGCCCCAGGTTACTATGTAATAATATACAAGTAAATTTTAGGAGTATTTTAATGTTATTGAATGACGTGTAATGTTTCCAACGGCGGACACTGAAGATATTTCTCGGGTCACGTCATTAAACAGTAAACAGAGTCTTACTAGCAATGACCGAGACTCACCTGAAAATTCTCAAGTTGCAAAACAGGATAATAATAATAAAGAGTTAACATTGAAAATGTTGGTTAAAGAGGCGGTATTTTGTATTGCACTAGCACTTACTACATATGGAGCCTTACACAATACGTAAGTTTATAATATTTTTATATGAATTTAAATAAACAAAAACATTAGTTTTCTCTAAAACCTTTCTATGAACACGCTTAACATGTTTTGCTCATTGTCCTATTAATGTTCAAACTTTCTATTTGAACTTGTAAAGTTTACTAACTGTTTTAATATATATTTCAGGCCTTCCAAAACGTCCAAAGTTCCTCAAGCAGTAAGATTTTTTAATCCTGACTCGATAGTATCTGATTGGTACAGAGGTCAGTTAAGCAATGCCCTGTCTCTTATAAATTCTGAAGATATATCATTTGTTATGTACTATGCACCCTGGGATGCTGAATCACAATATGTGAGAGGAGAGTTTGAAAAGGCTGCAAATATTTTAAGTGATAGAGTAAGTTAACAATGACTAAACTTCTGTATCTTAAAACCATTATGATTAATTATAAAAATGGTATATAAAAGTAATACATAAAATGGTGATATCTAAGACTTGATAGTATTCATTTAACCCAGTGGGAGGAGCGCCCCATGTACCAACACTGACTATCGCTACTGGGTAAAAAATACCACAATAATATTAATGTAAGAACTAGAGTTATTTTATGGATAATTAAATATAACCAAATTTTATATTATATTGTGTTACATTTACAATTAAACAAGACAGTTGGAAACTAATAACGCTTGGTATAATATGTAATATTTGACATTTTAAAACATAACCCAAAAGCTCAGCCATTTTGTGCACAAAACGAAATATTTGCTAGTGTGGCTGGAGGGCTCTTTCCTGTTGTTTATTTGGAATATTATTATTTTGCTCGCCATTAACACCATGTAAAAGTATTATTTTACTTTTCATAAATGTATGTAGGCAGGTTTAAGATTGTAGATTTACACTTAATTTGTGGCAATACAAGAGATACAGCCAACACCTTCAAGTAATCTCACGATTTTCTTTATTAGTCGAACCGTCGAACATCTGTCGAAAGGTATCTAAAACGGCGCTGCACACAATAACTTACAAAAATAAATATTTACGAAAGTATGCACTATGTGGTAAATTTTACCCGGTAGCGCCTCCTGGCGAGTTAAAATAAACTAATAAAATATGCATTGACAACATAAAATTTGGCTCCAAAAAACTATTTGTATTTAATCCTTTGTTAGGTAAGACTTTCTCATACAACAAACATAGTTGTTTATATTTCTTGGTGTTGATAAAATTTCATTGTACTGATCAATGTTTCATCATCATTTGTATAACTTGTGATCTACCTCTAAAGACACTGATCTAAAGTATTATCTAGATATTAAACCCATTACTTTATTATTTTAAGGTTCATTTTTCTGCTATCAACTGTTGGAATCCAGGCAGTGAATGCAGATTGCAACATAATAAAATACCTTCATGGCCAATACTTATGGCATACACTGTCACCTCTAGAGGTGTTTTATATAAAGGTATATCTTTAAATGTAATAAAGTAATTTATAATTTGAGAATTTTATTAAAACTATTTTATTTTCAGGACCTAGAAATGCAGAGAGTATGGTTAATTTTTTGGAATTACTCATGAGACCATTACAGAGAGTATCAAACACTGAAGATTTAGTTAATTTATTGTCCAAATGTGATGTAAGTGTTATAAATTTTACTGATTTTTATTTTTATGACAACCCGAATACATTATATGTAATGAATTGAAGAAAAAAGGTTATATATATCCACATTGTCATATTTCTACGATTCTAAATACAAATTAACTAAAAAAAAAATGTTTTTTTTTCTTATTTTCAGGCTGTTGCTGTAGGGTTTACGCCACTGACTGAAACCTCTAGGTATTACAATGTGTGGTACAGCGTGGCATTAAAGTCGCGAGAGTTTGACACTATTGGTGAAATATGTTTTGCTGCAGTTACATCAAATGAATTAGCAATGGATCTAGGAGTTGAAAGTGTTCCTAATGCTAGACTCATGTTATGGAATGATACTAAGGTTATACAATATGATTTACAGTCTTTAAAATAACAAACAATTATATAAGTTTGTATTTAATAATCAAATAAATTACAATTTCCAATAATTAATTCAAAGAGGACAAAGGGTTTGATTTTTTAATGGAAATCAACAACTTTGTGTAATGTATATGAGTGTGGTATTAGTGTAGAAATAGATTTATGATACAAAAGCACTAAAAACTAAAATTATAACAGTAACAGTGTAATGAAATATTGTTAAATATTAAATATTATGTTATCTCCGTTTGACCATGGCATGTTTTATTTAATTAGTCTAGATAACATATTTTTACTCTAAGTACTTCTTCAACTTTTATTTGTATAGCATAAAATATATCTATATTTATAAATAGTACATCAATGTTTATAAGTTTTATGATAGTTATAAAAATTTCTTCAATATTTACATTTCAGGAGTATAGACCAGAAGAAAGCAATCAATCATGGAATGAGACGTATTTGATGCACTGGGTTCTAGAGAATTTTTCTCAACCTGTTGCCAGAATCATTCCATTGTGGAAGAAGTCATTTAATTTTGAAAGATATGCTGATGGTAATCCCATGTTAATATTATTCACACCATTAAATCCATTGTATGAACAGCTGCCATTGTATTCATTAGTAAGTACATTGAACATTTTTATTCTATTGTATTTTTTTCATATTTTAATCCTTTCCTTTTACATTACTCCAGCTTCGCGAAGTCGCTATGGAATATAACAACTGTAAAGATAAAGAAAGTCATCAATGGACATTGGAACTAATAAAGTTGCAACAGGTACAAAGACTGTTGTATCAGCAGAAGAACTACTTAAATTTCTGTAGAGAATATAAATTTAAGAAACCCGTCAAAAAAATACCATCGATATACAAAAAGGAGGTGATATCACAGAATAACAAATACCCTTGGAGCAATGTGACCCAGAAGAATCAAAAGAATGGTGTATTTAATTATCTTCTCAAGCAAGGATTGGCTTTATCGAAATTAATTGAGACATCTAATGACAACTCAGCTCTGTGGTCAACATTAGGTTTTCTTGAGCAATGTGAGTCAAGTGCGATCAAATCATTGCCAGCTGAGAAAAGCTTTTATGAATACTTTGAGAAATGTCAAACACTTGAGGAGCAGTTGAGCGAAATTGAGACCGATTATCAAGAGTATGTCATTGTTTACATATATCTGTATAATTCAAATACTATATTTGCATAGTAACATGTCCAAATAATTTCTTAATTGATTTTTCAGTACAGAAACAACAATGCAACCGGCAGAAGATGATCCATACTCATCAGAAAATCTAGTACAGGATAATGTGAAGCATTTCTGTAATATATTGCAGTTTGCTAATGATGTTAGTCCACAAATAATGCCAAGCAAATCCATTGGTAATATAACACATTTACATGGACTGGGATGTAAAACTAACTTCACTATGTACATGATAGCCGTTGATAGCATACGGAATTATCACTTTGCCGAGGCTCTTGGTATTGATATTAAAAATAAAAAGGATATGACAGCTGCTGTCATATTGGATAGCAAGGTATAATATATACATTATTTTTTCTATATAGAAGTTATTTATTTAAATAATACATATATATTTATGATAATAGTGGAACTCTTATTTAGTTGATCAATCAAAATTTACTGAGATAATTCTACATTAATATGTATTATGAGTATCTATATTTATATTAAAAGGCTGAAATATGATGATTGATTTTGAATTACAGCATGAGAGTCAGTACGTTCTGTCTGAAGACTACAGCGCTAAGTCAATACGAGATTTCATATACAATTTCACCCAAAAGAAACTTAAGCGAACTCTTCGTACACACGTGGGGGCCGCTAAGAATACTCACTATTTCGGTTCATATGGAGATACTGAACCCGACGGCAGAGAGGATAAAGCAGTACATATTATAGATTTAACTACACATACATTTAGGAAAGTCGTTAGGACTCCTGGAGTGGTGGGTACTGTAATAGTATATTTATTACTAGCTTTCCGCCCGCAGCTTCGCCCGCGTGGAGTTCAGTTATATCGCGTTTCCAAGAGAACCTTTCAAAAGTCTGGGATAAAACTATCCTATGTTCTTCCTCAAGGTCAACTCTATGTCGGTTCCAAATTTCATTAAAATCAGTTCAGTGGTTTAGGCGAGAAAGAGTAACAGACAGACAGACAGAGTTACTTTCGCTTTTATAATATTAGTAGGAATTATGCATATATGTAACACAATATTTGTATAAAGATTTTTATATAAAGCAGTATATGATTAATTACATTAACATCTGATTAATCCTTTGTATTATCTCAAATATGTAATGATAACTAACTGTGTCTAATATACATATAAGTAATTATTAATATTAAGACTTATTGGATTTTTCTATGTAATATTAAAATGTTACTTATCCATAAAAGCTGCGGTACTTATCATTGGACATCAAAACTTAATTAAGTCATAACTTAAGTAATATCATTATTTGTGTACAGTTAACCATATTATCTGTATGCGGCGGTGCGTGCAGTGCGCATACGTCGCGGGCCATATCTTGCGCGTCTCGTGCGCTGTCAGCTGCGGGGGTGGGTGTACAGGCGGCGCGTATAGACGCCTTGAGGCATGACCTTCCCGCGCATTACACGCCGCATAGATACCCGGCGCTGTTCGTCTTGAAACCGGACGGGTAAAAAATTATATATTATATATATTTTGATTAATTTTTCCTAATAAATGATCTTTCTTCTGGTCTGAATTGAGGCTTTAAGTCTCGATATATTTTCGAGTCCCGGGAATTATGTATGAGAATTCCGAGACTTTGAAAATAACTTTCATTCTCAAGGTTGATACAATTAACATAAAAGAAGATCTGTGCTGTTAGCAAATAGGAATGCGGAGAATATTTGGTTGAATATTTGTAGTTCAAGTTCGGCGTATATTTCTATGTTCATATTCAGCCAAATATTCTGTTACATCGAATAATTAGCGAATATATAGGTAAATGGTGTAAGTTTCTTATAAAATGTTAGTCTTACAATCGTAGGAATATAATATTTGATAATGAAACAAAAACTATCTTTGTACCGTCTTTGATTGCCGTACCGTCTCTAATGCATCAGATCTAAGATCTTCGCTAAAAATATTTAGATTTTTTTCTCTACAAAAAAGAAATTCACCCAGAATCTGAGATTTAACAATATGGCGAGTGTAATATTTGTCCTCTGATATGTTTGCAAATCTTTGTGTTCCATATTCTTATTATTATTAATCTTTAATATTTCTACAGTTTCATAAACACTAGGGACGACTTATTTCGCGTTCGGCATAGTTAAATATTTTAGAAGTTTTATAATGTGAGGTATTATTTCAGATATTGATGTAAAATAGGACCTTGTGAGCTTATTTATTTCTCCAAAAAGCTGTAATAGTTTCAGTTTCTCAATCAAAATTTTCCTCTATCACGCTGTTAGGTTATAAAGATTAACTATTATTTGTAATATCAAGAATAAAATTAACCGAGTAAGTACTGAATATTCGGTTTAGAACACTGGACTGAATATTCGACCTAACATTCTTATTCGATTAAATATATTCAACGCATCTCTATTTGGAACTTTTATATATGTTGAATTTTATATATAATATGAACCTACCTACCTACCAACCTAATAATGAACTTCTATTACTCAGGTCAGGTGATTCAGACAGTCGGTCGTATCCCGAGGGCGCGCGCTTGTCTTGCGCCGGCGCCGCAGCCCTGGCGCTCCGGTCCATGGACGCTAGGTCGAGACTCTCAGTGAGGCTGCGACTCTGTTCTCAGAGCAAGGTGACTATTATATGTTATTATACTAACAGACATTACCATCGACTTATACAAATGGACATGCCGTACGCGTATGTGTCAAGGATTATGCGTGTCAAGGATTATGCTTAATTAAAATACCTTACCTACAGGCTAGATCTACTACTCACCTAATTCGCTGTTAATGTAAATCATATATTTATATGTACAAAGTTCTCGATTTCAAACTATATAAATAATTAAACCAAATATAATATATCACGTTATAATTATCCGATCTTAGGGAATGACACTAAAGTCTGACAGATAACTGTTAAACAACTGACACAGCTGTCAAAAAAACTGACAGTCATTTAAACAGTGCTTAGAAAAGAAGTTTAAATTGTTTATAATTGAAGGTGGTTGTTTGGTTTTCTTAAATTCTCCTTGATCTTGATTTTCGATAATGGAAAAGGTTTTTACTAAAAACTTTTCACTTGGTATTATTTTGCAAAAAATAAATTAATTAATAAAACCGTTCTTAGGTGACAGATTTACCTAGAATAATTCAATTAAACACTCACGCACACCCATATATGTATATATGTAGTCCAAAACCCAAATAGTGTTTTTTTTAACTATTCAAAATTCTCCTATTCAATACTTTAGAGTTTAGGGTTATTTCTACTCCTGTTTTCTTTACTTAAACAATGTTTATAATCTTCTACTAATGTTGTGCATGAAAATATATAATTCTCAGATTCGATTGTCTAGATAGAAAAGTAAATACATACAAGTCAAATATCTCATCGGTAAAATTAAAAATTACTTATACATACAGTGATACGAGGGGAGGTCAATAAGTTCGCGGAATGAGCGGGAAGGGGGTTGAAATTTAACATGAAACTATTTTTCCTTTTCAATATAGTCTCCCTTAACCTTAATACATTTTTCGGATCTCACAAATAATTTATTAATACATTCGAAAAAAATTATTTATCTTGGCTATCAAAATAGGCCGAAATTGCGGACTTGACTTCTCAAATATTTTTCACCGCAGCTTTTTTTTCATTTTTGAAAACAAATAATAGTCGCTGGGGACTAAGTCTAGACTGTAAGGTGGGTGGTGTAGTTTTTCGAATCCGCATCGGTGAATGGCAGCCGTCGCAACATGGCACGAGTGGACTGTTGCGTTGTCGTGCAAAAGGAGCACACCTTTTGACAGCTTTCCTCTTCTTTTTTCCTTGATAGCTTCTTCCAATCTATCTAATAAAGAAGCGTAGTACTGTCCCGTTATAGTCACACCACGATCTTTATAATTGATCAGCAAAATACCTTCTGTATTCCAAAAGACAGTCGCCATGATCTTTCCGGCCGATTGTGACACTTTAAACTTCTTTGGAGGAGCTGTGCCTTTTTTATGCCACTGTATCGATTCTTGCTTCGATTCAGGTTCATAGTGGTGAACCTAGGTTTCGTCACCAGTAAAAATCCGGTCCATAACTTCGTCCTTATTCTCTCCACAGAGCTTCAAAAACTGGCGAGAACACTCGACACGCTCGCTCTTTTGAAGTGGCGTGAGCATTCTTGGAACCCATCTTGCACTGACCTTAGTCATCCCAAGATGATGATGTAGGATATTTAAAATGCTTTTTTCGGATACTCTAACCATTGCTCCAAGCCGTTTCTTCTTCAACCGGGCATCTTCCAATATAAGTTTTTTCTACTTTTGCGACGATTTTCGGTGTGGTGGCCTCAATCGGTCGTCCGGAGCGGGGGTCATCTTCAATGGACTCTCTTCCTTGTTTAAAAAGTCCATGCCACTTGCAAACCATGGTTTTACCAGGGGCAGAGTCCGCGTAAACTGATAACAGCTCTTCAAAAATTATCTGAGCGGATTTTCCTTGCTTGGTGAGGAACTTAATAACGGCGCGGTGTTCAATTTTCTCCATACTCACTGACTTCTTCCCGATTCACTTGTTTGCAGGTCAACAACTCAAAAGTTAATGACCCGATTTGGTTCAAACTTGGTATATATACTATTAATGAGGTGTTGAACAAGTTACTACCTGGACGAGTAAATCAACCCCCTCCATCCCCTCCATTCCGCGAACTTTTTGACCTCCCCTCGTATATGCACATATTTAATTAATGAAATATGTATTTGATTACTAGCGAATGGTTTAAATATTCTTTTTATATAATGTTAAATGAGTCGCGAATAATTTTCTGTCTCAAATCTATTTAAAGGCTGTGGAAGAGTAGGTGTAGTTTCGAATTGTTGCGAGACATGTAATAATTATTATTTATATGTATGTCAGAAAATACCTTTTTTCATAACAACAATCTATGTAGATGGTATACTTTGATATTTATTTATTTATCGCTTCAACCTTGTAATGTTTTCTTCTACCTAAATTATACTTAAATATCAGTATAGTGGCCAAAATTGATATGTATAGATAAATGGTTGTATAGGGTTGTTGTTATTTTTTGAAAAAAACTAACCTAATAATCTTAACCTGTTTGTGACTTTTCATGTCTTTTCCTCGTGAATAAGGCAGACTAATTGTATCTTGTACGAAGTTACGCAAAACAGACCATAGATGGCGTTGGCTGTTGGTTACCAAAGATTTTCTTTTCGGCACACTTATCGTTCCTCTCCGCACACACTTCGAAATATGAAGTTTCTCGGAAAAGCTAGTTATTTAAATATTTATTTGCATTTAATGTATATAAAATGATACAACCATTACTTAAGCGCAGTGTTTTGTTTTTCTCATAGAGCTTAAAATACTGAAGTGAAATTATATTTGTTTGGACTTTGTATAATATCAAAGTGAACAATTCAAAAAATTCTTCTTCGTGTCCATGTTTAAAAAATATTTTTTGTATAAAAATATTGAGATTGATTTATTCAAATCATTTAGCTTTAAATTTCTATGTATATATGATACGTATACGTGATATAAAAACTTCGTACATTTTTTAAGGTTATCGAGATTACGCTGTTAGCACACTAAAATTTTATATGTAGAAATTCATAAAGCATTTTTTATGTATAATACAAAAGGTTAACTATAAATTAAATAAATATTACAGATAAAATTATGTTAGCACATAAAGTGTAAGGAGCGCATGCGGCGCTTAACATTTTTTCACTGTTTTTTTTATGCACATAAAATCACGAGTAACAGCTAATAATCACTATAAATACATAGTATAAAAAAAACTAAAACTATAACTATGTACATATGAATGTCGATCGTTTGGTCATACATATATATTATATTGAAATCAACAATGTTAGGTACTTAAATTTTAATCAAGGTCATCGAAAGGAGATAATTAGTGATAACAGTTGTGATATCAACAAATTATTTTATCGGAAACATTAAATAGAATTATGTAAATCGCACTAAAGGATTAAACTACATCACTCGCAAAATTTGATATCGCAATGGTATTGATTAATAATATAATAGTGTCTATCACTGGAATTACAAAGTACTTTTCTGTGTTTTAAATTATTTGATGCTTTTCGAATATTTAAATATAATAATATAGCTAAATACAGACTTCGGTTGGCATACAGTCTCAGACAGTACATTAGGGCACGTTGATTTTATGTGTTTACAAATTTTATCTCGTTTCGTTGGCTGTGACTATAGAGAATTTAAAACTTCAATATTCCAAGTGAAAAACGCGTGAGCTTCATTCTTTATTAAAGGAGATAGTTTTGGAAAGAAAACTATTTTTTTTAAATAAGAGTATTTTCTTACACGCACTTTTGATGTTTTATGTCTTAGTGGAATTAATGTTTTTTTATGACATCTTGCGGATTTTTAGAAAGAATTCTTTAAAAGTTGATGGACTTTTGGATAAAATTATTCTTTTTTTAAGGATGAAATTATTTTCTATTTTGGTATTGAAGCATCTTACCCATATTTGAAAATAACTCTGTTACATGAAATTATTATTACCTTACAATTGATAAAAAACTGACTCTCGTTCACTATCTTGATACAAAGCTATTACAACTGAACAACATTATACATCTCTTGAAAACATATCAGCACTTGACACAATTTATTTTGAGACCAAATTTAGACACCATCTCAAATATATTTTTTTGTACATAAACCTCCTTCATTGATTGATTTACGCTATTTTCGTTCGGCAATAGAGAATCATTGATATAAATAAATACATTTACTTTTTTGTATAGCTGAATGCAAAATTAAATATTCGAAAACATTAATACTTTTATTTTTAAAACTTTTGAACTGAGTCAATTAATATTTTTTTATTTAAACGTCATAAGCTTAAATAGCAATAAAGTGATTATTCATATACATAATTTATTATCATTAATCATTGATCGTCAAGATAAGTTAATCCAAGACGACAGGGGACCCATAATTAAAATACGATACGTCTGAAATTTGTTAAATAATGAATAAATAATTATTTCTGTATGAAAGTAGGTATTTACATATAGTTACTAAGTAAAAAATACTATGCTTTCGTCATAAATTTTTGAATTTCGAATGGTTTTTTAATTATTATTTTTTTATTTCTATTTCATTTGTTTCAGCCAATATTCGAGAAGAGAGCATGCCTGAAGGATATAAAAGAACATGTAGTAACGGTCATCGGAAGAAACTTGAAATATTGGCGTCGAACAGAAATCAAGGGGTTCAGGGATTCTATATTCAAAAGACTGCAATATTTACATCAAGTATCATTATACCTCGGACTGATTCACGTAGACGACCTTAAAAATAACAATCAGAAACAAAGATTACTGGTGCAAGCCCTAGACGATCTATCAAACAACTGGGAGATTGACGTGACTTTATTGAGGAAAAATTCAACCCAAAAAACCGTCGAGAGATGATAGTAAATACTACTTGTATATAGTGTACGATATTACACAATTTGTATGTATCGAAAAATATGTTGTTTATTTTTTAAATACGAAATGTTAATAAAATATTTATGATATAATTTCGATGTTTATTATTACCAAATGCTTATATTAAAAAATATAAATAATTGAGATTCCAATATCAAAAATTTACTTAAATTATGAAAAAGATTAGAATTCAATGTCTTCTCCGAAGAAGGAGAGTGTGTTTTGTTTGTCGCTGCTCCTCCAACCGCGGACCAAACTAAGAATAGCCGATATGGATTTCTTGACGTAGGTCTCTGAAATGATAATATATCTTAAATAAATAAAATGCATTATTTGAAGCAACATTCAATATAGAATTTTAATATTTCGGATACTTATGATAATGTCAAAAGAAACTTAAGAATGATAAATTTACTTCCGTGTAACAACAAATTAAATATAGATATCAAATTACGTAAACATGTATTGTTCTCAAAAAACAAATGAGATCTGTTATTAAAACGAAAATAAATTTAATACTGTTCTAATTAGTTGTCGTTGTTCCTGTTTTTTGTACACATAAATAAAAAACCCTAATGTGAGATCAAACTATAATTTTAAGCATCGTAATAGTTAGAGAAACCAGACATAAACGAGAAGTTTTAATACAAAAAAATGTTAAAAAAAACTAGACTTAAAGCTACTTAGTGGCTTCATGAATCACGTTATACGATTTTTATTTTTTTTTCCCTTCCCCCATCCCTTTGATAAAGTGACGTCATACGTTTTAAATTTCTATGTCATCGCTTGACAGACATGAGAAGAGAATAAAAGCAAGCACGCAATTGACTCTACTCAAACTCTAACTGATCAAAACTCTTTAAAATTTATGTATGTCCCAACATTACAACGCTGCTTCAAAGTAACATATTGCTGAATGAAATATATTTCATAACAAAATTGATAAAGTATTCATAGATTCAGCTCTCACATAGTTAAGTTTTTTATCCCCTTTTTTTTTTCAAATTTATGTGACGTTACAAACCTTTTGAAAACAACTCCCAATGTCACAAAATGACACATTCTGGTGTTCTTTCCCGTTAAGGAGTGACGAATATATGAATAACCACTTTAACATAAATACAGAATGGGTTATAAAATTTACATCAAAATAAAAATGTACGTAATTTAAGATTTTTTTGATTTTGAGTGTTTATAAAAACAAATATTAGATCTTACCTAATATAAAACTGTCCGTGTAGTTAGGAAAAATCTCGTGATATGGCTTAACAAGGAAGACCAGTTCAATTCCCACGACCCCAGATATATAGTCAGTCAGTGATCCGGCAACTCGCTCGTCGTTGCTGCTTTGATGAACCTTTAAAGTAAATTATTTCATTTTAAGCAGTGATGAACACACTTACATCGAAAGTTAAGCTAGACTATTAATATTAATTCATAATTATAATAACTTATGTAAACATTCAATCTGTTAGAAATATTTCAATATATTCTTTTCAAATAAACTCAAACTGAATTTGTTAATAAGTAAATTTTATGATCATGGCAAGATAGTATATCATTTTATATTTAATTATTAAAACATTAGATACATCAAAACGTGATAAACGTTTTCCCACACGTAATAATTTTTTATCAAAACAAAAATACCCATAGGTCTGTAAATAAGAAAAAACTTAGAAACATAATTGCTTTCGTGACTCCATTTAAGTGTAAGAAAATGTTGTGTTTTTTTTTATGGTGGGTTTAATGTGAATAATAAAACATTGCACCTCATAAAGTCTACCGTCAGGTAGTCTAGCCTGACGCGCCGCATATTCTCCAATGTCTTGTAATGTACGAAAATTGCTCGGCTGACGTAATGAATACCGCCAGGGATATAGAATGAATTCCTGTAATTCATATTTATTTATCTTTTATATTTAACGGTAACAGTACATTATATAGATTACGCATAAATAAAAATGAATAAAAGTTTTTATTTGTATAAATAATAATCAACCTTATTGATATAATATAAAGAAAGTATTTCTCAAAATACTTTCTTACATCGCGAATAGGAACAGTATTCAAAGATTTGCTTCAAGCATAAATATTTACCTATAACATGATACAGGGCCGTAAAAATACATGATATACATAAATGACTAAATTATCTTTTTCACGGCACGTGAATCAAACGTTCGATAAGTTATTTATCTGAGCTCGCTGTTTAAGTATTTTATCAAAATGATTACCAAAAAATTATTCGATAAGCACTATAAAAACTGTTTATAGATAAAGTATTATCTGCGGTTTGATGTATCGAAGAGATAATAAAGGATATCTGTCTATAAATGATAAAACTCTGCAATTTATATTGTTCTAAGTATTGCAGATTAAAATAGTTTTAGCATTAACACTAACGAAGACATTATGATAAAGTTTGGTTTGTTGCATTAGTGGTCAAAATGCATGCAATCTAAAGTTAAGGTGCATACCTATAATAAGTAATAATATCCGTAATATAGGTTTAAAAAATATATTTCATTAAGTCAAATTGAAGTAGTTGTTGGAGGAGTTAAAATAAAGTATTTCTACGTAGTTTAACAAAACTTTTCAATGATAAATACTAATATATATGTATAAGAAATTAAAACTTCTCTTAACCGTATACTGATTAAACTAAGAGTTAACCTTACTGACTAAAGATTACACCGTGCAATCTTAAATTATTGGGCCAAGATTAAAGTTTATAAAGAATACATTTAGTAATGTTATTGTTTAATACTAGATAGAAAAGTAGAGAAGTGATCAGCACTTGGTGCACAAGAAGCTACTTTTGATTATGATATGACAAATTAGAAACTTTTTAGAAAAAAAAAATTAATCATTAACATCTGAGATAAGTACCAAAAACAGGAAGTAATTTTAATTATTTTTGGTCCTATAAAAACTCCATTTGTCTCGAATCGTTGGTTTTGAATGTAGAATTTAAAAATCACATGAAATATATTTTTACACCTAAGCTAATATGTTGATCTATGAAAATTATAAATCATTAAATCTTAAATAAATATATCTGATTTTCGGAAGAGAAAAATTAAAAACAAAAATCTAGATTTTTTTAATTTTTCACATAAATTTTGAGGTTATGTGAAATAAAATGTAAATACAAAAGTTTTTGACCTTTTTATTACCTACAACTTTGGTATAGAACGTTTTTCCATAGGACTTTCAGTTTTGCCGGAAATCAAGAAAACCCATTTTTTACCCTTAAATAGCCATCCTCATACCCTTCCCGACCTCAGATCGCCCGTAAATTATTTTTCCTTTAATTTTTATAATATTTCCCTCCTTTTCAAATGAGTTTCATTCTACTTTAATTTATTTTCACTTTTCATTAATTTTAAAGGCTTCTGCACTTGCCTATTATGTCGGTTCAAGTAGTAAGTAAAAACTAAAAATCTCAATAATATGGAAACGTCACATCAAATAGGAGAATATTGAAAAGTTTTAAATTAATAATAGATCAAGTTTTAGAAAAATCCTCTCCAAATTATTACTTTGTTAAAAAAAATTGAGCTAAAAACCCAATAGTTTCAAATCAAGTTAAAAAGTTATAGGTACATTTATTTACAACATTTTTCGATTTATAAATTGTGGGTAAATATATTCCATCTATGTAAATTTTATTTCAATAAAGTAAGATTTTGTTGATATTACATCGATTCTAAGTATTGAAACTTTTATGTCAATATAATCATGATAAGTCGGAGTGACGTAGTGTCTGCTTTTATTTTATCATAATTATAAACAAAACTAGAGGATTATTTTAATGATTATCCAAAATTTTATAAGATAAACTAATCTTACTGTCTGCGAGAGATAAATATGTACTTATTTTCTTTTCACTATATAAAACGTGGTTGTGTTGCTATTACAAAATATTATATATAAAATTTACAACTTTTATTATATAAATTAGGTTATACTGACCTTTTTTGGTACAAAACTTGCATCTAAATGTATGGCGATGTTTATTACATCAGCTAATTTGTCTATATACGAGCGTAGTGCTTGTGTTTCAGCTGACGAGAATGGTTTCGAGCCAGGATAGAATTGAGAGCAGTTTATCTTCTTTGAGACCCCGTCTAAATGTAATACGTAATGTTCAAACAAAATTATATCATTGAAAAATGCATTAAGGTTATCATTTATTTTATCGTAATAATTTGATAGATATTTATTTTAAAGGACGTCAATAAAAGAGTTTGTAATACATTCATATAAACGTCATCAGAATTGTATTGACAAAAAAAATAAGGACTTTTAACGGGTATAAATACAAAATATACTTTTATAGTGTCAAAAGACCTTACATCGATTCTATGTTCCGTATCTGGATTATTTAAGTAAATGCAAAAGTTTATGAAGGAATACAATGTTTTTTATAAAAGATTCTTATATTATTTTTAACAAAAACTAATTTATAAATATGGATTGAATAAAATGTACAAAAAAATTATATCCATACTGTTGGTTTTGCCAAAACATCGATCTGCATGAAAGGAGTCTAATAAAATCTATGTACCTACATATGAAGTGTTGCCCTCTTCTAAGAAACGTTTTCATTAATCTACACGTTAATACTATAATGTGTGGAGTTTATGAATGAAAAACTGTTTACGCGAGAACGCCAATTTGAACTAAACACAAAACATAACAGACCTTGCCAATGATATGCAAAGTTACGGTTAATGTTAGTTCCAAAACAGGAATCAAAAGATGATTCCATATTTTTATGCCAAAATGCGGGTCTTGTGCCGTTCCTAGCGGTTAGATTTCGAGACCAATCCATAGCATTCAATGGAGTTAAGTTGCGAATATTTGTTGTAAAGTTCAAACCATCGGGGTTTGCTAGGGGTATAAAATACCTGGAAGAATATCGTTCTAATATTATTTTGCTTATGTTTCATGATTATAATGGAGATGGTTATAAAATTTTACCAGTCATAATCATTAAAAAATGGCGTCTGATAGTTTGTATCATATATGAGTTTCTCTGCTAACTCAATAACGGCATTAGGCCCTCCCCAAACCATACCATTTATAGCTGAAATATGTTATTACTTTTTATAATCTATGAAAATCATATGCGTCAAACAAACAGTGTGTAATAAATGGTTAGCATAATTTATTATTATCTCAAATGATCAAAGATAGAGTTGGAAAAACCAAAGGATTAATAAAAGTTTATTGAATGATAATTATCTTTAATAATTAGATATCATTATTCATTTCTATTAAACGTAGTGATAAGTTTGAAATTAATACATCAATTCACCTGATACGACGAGTACGCCTGGTTTCTTGCTCCGTGTATCACTATGCAGTTCAAGAGCAATTATACTATTATTTGCAGAAGTCATTGGAGTTAGATGTACAATATTAGCCATCTCAGAATCCTCGGTCGCCATGCGCGATAAAATACTAACCATTGTATCATAGTCGATGTACTTCCGATACTTAATACTGCTACCAGCACTTCTTATTTTTCTCATTTTAGTTCCAGACCTAGCAAAGAAAAATGAGAAAGTAGAGATATTGGTTTTACTACTTTAATATTGCTACACTATGACGTAATTACTGTTCATAGTTGCGAGGCGGATATAAAATCATAAATAAAATGCCTAAAGAATAGATTGCAGCAATTAGATATACTTTCACTTGTAAAATCATAGTTTAAGGTTGTAGGTATGTATTTATAAAAATACCAAATTATTTTTTGTGTCACTGTTTTTGAAGGTTCAGACATAAATAGCTACATTTATCTTCTCAGAAGAGGTTGTAAAAAAGAAGTTTTATATATATAACTATATTTTTAATCTTTCAACAATTTTCGAATATTAAAATAAGTAGTGGTCTGATTTTTCAGTACAAAGGGTAAGTGATTTAACCGAAGTTTATCCTGAGAATTATATATTTCTGGTCTTTATTTCTTCAATCGACATTTAAACGATTGTTATGAGTGTTTCTGTTTTATTTCCAAGTTGATAACAAGCTAGGAAACAAAACTCGACGAGAACTATAAGCCTATCATATTATTGTTTATAGAGAAACATTCGTCGCTACAAACCATAACAGTACTTACAGTTAACTACCCACATTTTTAATTTTTATGTCCACTTATTCTGCTTTGATATATTTAGTGTCGATCGTTTGAGTTCAATTTCTATAATTCTGGTATATGTTATTATTCTTTTTTTACCGTTTCTTCTGTCATTCTTACAGTATGTGCTGTCAAAGTACGATGTACGTGAGCTTTTTCTTAACATGAATTTTGGTATATTTTTGATAATATTAGGTTTTGCTCATTTAGTTTGTTGTTCTAATAGTAATGTCACAAATAATGAGTGCGATGTCTGTACATTATCATGTAAGTTTTTCAAATTATTGTCACAAAGTATGATAAGATTATACTGTTTATGTACACAAGTTCATGTACATTTCAGGGTTCCGTCGTAAAAGGGATAATAAGGATTACACTCGATGGAAGTCGAATATAGAGACGACACAAGAATTTATTGTTAAAGTTTTAGAAGACGATGTGTCATTACCTCAAATTAAGAAGTTTGCGGCTATAAACATTGCGCCGTTCACTAAAGAAAGAGAAAAAATTATAATTGGTGGTCCAATAACTCCGTCACCTACAACGACTTCAGAGTCAGATAAGTTAAAAGATTATACTAGATTTGGTCCTCCCTCGACCTTGTCTGTTACTGCCATTGATGGAAACATTATCCTTCAGCCTATTAAAATAAACGAAAATGCTATTGCACCGATACGACCCCCAGGTTACTGCAAAATTCCTTAATATTTGATTCAACTTATGTAGATATAATAAAATAATATTAATGATAACAACAAAATTTACTTACAGGTCGTAGATCCGGATTGGAACCAGCAAAGAACCCCCTTCGAGATGAAAGCCCTCCAGCGCGACCCCAATTCTTACCAAAAAAACAGTCAATTATACCTCGACAATTCGCTCCAATATCACCGGTATCTTTTACAAAACGTAGTTCTCTAGGCCCTTTAACGGGTCGTAGGATAGACAAATCGGTAAATAATTCATCCGTCACAAAACTTGCCTCCGTTATTGTATAAAGTTTAAAAATCTTTAATTATATTCACAGATGTTGTTCAGGGAAACAACGTTTCAACATCCCACTCGAACTTCCCATGTAAAGCTAGAAATCCCGAAAAGGACAACAGAATTTAGGACTTCTGTTACATATGACTACAATTATGAATTAAGAACTCAATTTATTCCAAAGCGGACTTCACAAACATCGATAATAGATTTACACAGAACAACAACTGACCAAATAGAAACGGAAAATAGTGATTTTATACCCACGGTTGCTAATATTCAAAAAATAGCAGAACAGAAAGGTTCTTCAAAAGTAGGACATAAAGAAACAAAAATGGCTTATGATCTACTTTATCACGATGAAGATGAAATTAGTGACCCGAGAAGAAAAGAACATCAAAAAACCACAGACAGCTACGAAGATCTTCACGTAATTGACAATGAGAATGTTACAAGAGATGACACCTTAAGTAACGCCGAAGAACGTGAAACTACCACAGACGACTCTGATTCAAATAATAACGATAAAGACAATTTGGAATCGACCATAAGAGGTTCTCAACAAAAGCTATTCGGTGTGGCGACTTTACAACCTCTTTCTAATAAATTGGAGGACGATGAATATGAAGATAAAAGCAAAACAACGCTAAAAGATAAAAAAGTATTTTTATGTAGCATATTAAAAAGAAGACAACTTTCTTTCAGTGCTCCTTTGACTTTGTACGAGGTAAAAATTTATAAGTTATTTTCTTTATCATCAAAAACGCAAATGATATATGTAATTACAATTATAAATGATTATGAAAAATTAAATTTTGAAGGCCAAGAATATTAAAATATAATAACCGTCATAGAAATTTTAAAATACGTACAGTATATTAACTCTTGTGACATATAATAAAATAATTTTAATGTTGATGTTTATAATGCAGATAGTAACGCAACTAAAACAATGGGCCGATGAAAGTCCTGTTGCCAAATGGATGGACCTTACCGAAGGAAATTACACGATAATGGAAAATCCAATATACATGATGATGGTTGATGATCCCAGCAGTGGACAAATTATGTCTGCTAAAAGAACCGTAATGATCGTCGCAGGTATGATCAATCAAGTATATCAATACAAAAATAACAGTTGGGAATTACAATTATTACTGTATCCAGGAATCCAAGGAAGAGATCATCATGCTGTTACAGCGGCGATGTACGTTCTGTATCAGTTGATTGAACGCAGTGAAGCACATTCTGATTTGCTTACTAAGTTCCGCTTTTGGATTGTTCCTGTTTTTAATCCAGATGGATATGATTATTCAATGACTTTCCCTCAAGTGAGTGTATATAGTTAATTAAATAGTCACAACAACACAGCCATTATTACATTATAATTTTTCCCTTCGTATCACTTAGTTAATATTGAGCTTAAACTATTATTGGATCTCATCTTCGTTCAGCTTTTTCAAGTGACGATAATTGTTGTGTCCCCCGCTCAATTACGTATTATACATATGTTCTATTTGTATGCTTAGTCTGAGTTACCATCTTCACGATACATAAGGAGCGTTAAAGTTTACGTATTGAATTATTAACGTAGTTTATTGAATGACAAAGGACAAACACGATAGAAACTTGCAATAAGCATACTACACCCTAACCACAAGTGTGCATCGCACTACATATGGGTCGATTTCAGATTTAAATTATAAATATTTGCAAGTTATATCATTGTCGTGACAGTTCAAATGAATAAATATTTTAAATATTATAATATTTTATGTTTTTTTCTTTTTAAAAGAGACGCGAATGGACGAAGAATGTACGTCAGTCGTGGGATTCGTGCAAAGGTAGGATTCTGTGTAGGACCTGCGAAGAGTTTGGAGTGGGGTGTACGATACGGCCATGTTACGGGGTCAACTTGGATCGTAATTTTGAATATCAATGGATACCCAGTAAGTATTTGAATAATATGTTAGCTCAAAATAAAAATATCGGAATCAGTGCCGTGTGTGTTTGGGTATTGGAAAACACCTATTGTTACTGTACTTTTTTTTATGGGTCATATATTTAGTAAAGATGTAAGACACATGCTACGATATATAACGCTCATTATTTATAATAATAACGTTAAATAAGAAAGTCGGAATATACGTATAAAAAAATCGTCATCAACCACGTCTTATCTTACCAGGTGTTCCATTGATGATTTTCACACGTCTTTGTCGACTTTTTATACAGTGTGCAACTAAAAAACTAAGGTATATAATATTCTTTAGCAGAAGAGTTGCGCTCTGAACATCCGTGTGGGATGCTGTTTGCTGGACCTCGTCAACTGAGCGAGGTTGAGACAATAGCGCTTACGCATTTCCTTCACAATCAGCGCACGCCGATTCACACCTTCATAGCTTTCAAAGAGGGAGATGTTCTAGTAAGAAATTATATTAGGATAATATAATAAATGTGTACTTAATATTTTTGTTAGTTTTGAGCTATTTTTTTCTCAGATCAGATTCTATACAGGAAGTAAGTAAATAAGTGTTTAAAAAGCTTCTTTAATACAAAACCTTATAATGTATTTACTATATGTACATACTACATATAAACAGTTGATGATAGTAATAACTGTTATTGTACGTATAATTGTATTTATTTAAGTTTAATTTTCTTTGTTGTTATAATTTGAGTTTCGGTTCAAAATGCTAAAAAAACAGTCATATATTTAATTAAGTATTATTAAATTCAATATATCTAAAGGCAATAAAAAGACAAAAAAAATCCTTTGATTTATATATACCATGGTTTTCAAAGAAAAATCTATTAAGTTAAATTATTGTAAAGTACACAGCACAAATATCTTCAATTATATATATTAACGGTAATTAGTGTGATTATATATTTTAAGTTTTTTACAGGGAATAATGTACCCTTACTCACACACAAAAAAGAGACGTGCCTTCGACCACATTTATGTAAGTAAAGAAAGGCATTTTATTTTATTATTTTTTCCATCGAAAATTATTTGTATTGATTTTTCGTTGAAATCGTTATATTTAAATATAGTCTACACACACGGAGCCATGCTTCTATTTTAAATATGTATGTATATATTTTTTATTCTATATATATTGATGTCGATAGATATAGAGATAGTAATACAGTTTTACATCATTTTAGAGACACAGAGCCTCAAGAGCTGCAGCCGCTGCTAATAGCATCAGCGGACGGCCATACGTTGCTGGGCAAACCTCCGAGTTTCTACGTAACTAGTATATCATATTATTGTTTGATTGTAAAGAATGTTATTGACATTCATAGTATAAATTTCTTTCAGCGCTTTACGCTGGAGGCGTTGAAGACTGGGTGGATGGTCATCTTGGGATAGACAATACTTATACCGTCATGATGTTCCGACCGTCCGATGCCTATAGTTCAAAAATTATCACGGAGGTAATACAAAGTCAGTCATATGATTCAAATAATGATCACATCTATTGACAATTTAATATCCATATGCTAGATGTTATATGATAAAACAACGCAATCTGATACATTTTTATTGAATACTTGACTGATTTTCTTTGCGATATAAAACAAACGTCAAAGCACCATTTACAAAACATAAACATTGTGCCACTAAATTTATATTGAAATTCCAAGATATTTATATCGTCATTCCAAAATATTTTTATGATATTTTTTCTATTTATTTATTTAGCGCGTCGTTCACGAGGCATATGCTGCGGTGGATACTTTGCTTCTAGAGAGTGTAGAGACTCCGAGATCGCCGCAAGCTGTTTTAACCAGAGCCAAAGCTTCAGCAAACACCTTACTCGCGAATATCTTTATATTATTACCTATGGTTCTGGGCTTCGGTTAAATCAGTTGTTCTAAACTTTTGGTATCAATTAGGAGCTAAGAGTCTATCCGATAATACAGAGAATGTAATAAACACTTTGACAAAATATTTCTGATGAATGTCCTACCTCTTTTTTATGGTCCTTGGGATTTTACGTGTATAAAGAGGATGATATATATAATATTAACTATATTGAAAATAAAAAGGCTGTTACAAATAATAATTTATTTTATTTTATTTAAAAAGATAAATTGTATAATTAATAAGTTTGACTAATTATTTTCTTTGACAAAATAAGTAAAATTGTTGTAAATTTGTATATACAAAAATATACATACGTATATACGTGACGACATAAAATAAGTTCAATATGCTTACCATAAGTTTACATCGTCATAATACCAACGAAGCATTTTTAGTGTTTAGTTCATAAATGTTCGTACTTTGTTGTAATTATCTAGATTCTAGGCTATTGATTGAAGAACAGAAAGTCATTCGTATATACATACAGAGAGAAGGCAAAGTGATAAAAATACTTAACAATTCTTTCGACAAAGTATAACCAACCTACTACTCAAGTTTCTTAGAAAAAAATATTTCTTACATAAGTACAACCCTCAAAAAGCTTAGCACAAGCCATGACAGCTCTTGTGGTTCAATGTTCATGTTTGTTTTAAATGTGCCTTTCTTTCGTGCAAAGACATGCACAGTATATTCTTCCAGTATCCTATAGAACGGAGAAGACAAAAGTGATAGTTCTTATATAAGCTAAATGATCTAATTTAGAACAGATGACATATAAATTCTTTCATCTTCTATCGAACACCAGTGAAACTTGGATTATGACATTCAACAAACAATTCCATAATTCCACTTTGAATGAGACTATGCACTAAAAATGAATTATTTGGCGTTAGTACATATTAAGTACATTATGACACAAAACTTGTGCCAATGAAATTTGTTCTTGATAATATCGCGACGTCGCGTCTCCGGTCTTTATCAATAGATTCATTATCTTTAATATTTAAAAATATATTTCTCTATTGTTTAAATTCCATAAATAAAAAATTTTGGCTTGAACATGATTGGATTGTCTGAGAATTTATAAGGTCAACTACTATAAACACTTCGAATTATAATAATCTTTGTTTATCATTTTATTTATTTATATTTGTTGTCAAGGAATTTTTAGCAATCTTGTTACGATATCTTTTAATTTGATATTAATGTCGTGAAATCGCACAGTCTAATAATACCTAAAATTATGTTACTCGAGAAGTAAAAACTTCTGTTAAGAGTTGATTTAAGGTATTCGTTCAAAAATTCGGCTCCAATATTAGATGAATAATTTATATTTTAAGCATACATAGATAATAATATATTAAATAAATATAAAAACAAAAAACATCTCTTAACATTTAGAATATTGATTCAGTTAGTTTAATGCTACCAAAGAAAATGAATATTTGAAATTTACATTATAATTTATCTTAGTTCTTCATTGGACTATACCTAATAAAGGGAGAGGATGCAATTTGAGCAATCTTACATGTACAACGATATTTAGTAAAATATTAAGTAATTTGAAGACCTGTAAGTAAAGGAGGCCAAGAATCATCTTATTATACTATTCTACCTGACTCAGACGCATATAGAAGATAATATATCATTCTGTTTTAGCTTAGTGATTTTAACGAGGATTGTAATTGACTGGAGTTTTAGTAAATTCACTAGTTTTACTTAATTTTATGTTCGAACCTGCACTCGAAAACAACAACGACCCGGAGATCACGCTTGTTTTTATAAAATTCTAGCAGAGGAAACAATAAGTATTTTCATTTTTATTCGTCCACGGTGTGCTGTGTTTTGTCTATAGGATAATTATACGTGTAGTCATCTCCTCATATAAGTGAAAAAGCTGTAATATCGGTGTATTCCATACAATTGTTGTTTTGTTTATCCATGTGCTATGCCCTAATAAAGCCTATAAAAAATGTATAGGCCTTATAACGGCACTGGTACAGATCTTATTAGGACAATGTTTTATGTCAGTTAGAAAGGTTATCACAGTAAAATAGTTAACTATTGTTTTTAGTAACATCGGGGTTATTTCTTAAATACACCCTGAATTAGCAAGTCGTAAAGCACAGATGATGAATATAGTGCTTTTGTATGATGAGAAACTCGTTACATCTTATCTATAATGATCAAAAGTAATAAATGAGATCTCATTTAATTTAATATAAGTATTGATAACATTTTGAATTCATTAAGAAGTTGAATGTTTAGTTGTTATTATTTAGGCCTTATTAAGACACAGGGTTCCCAATAAGGCCTATGTGATATTTTAGTCATTTGTGTTCACAAAAGTGTTATTTTAGTTCCTTAAGTAATTTCGTTTAACTTATTACAAAGTTTAATAAATAAATATAGAAATATCAAATTACCAGTGCATTGTTATTATAAATCCGCTAGTTAGATAATAACAAAGTTAAGGTAGGCCTTATTTGGGTGATCCGGGGTACACCGACATAGCGGCCGATGGCTTTCGCAGTGGTTTTTGTGAGTAGGGGCCTGCCCAGGCCGAGCCTCACACATCCCTTCCGGTCCCACCAAGGCCGGTTGGACGGCTCGTAAAAAGAGTTTCCACTACGTCATCAAAAAAAAAAAGGCCTTATTTGGGTCACTTACATTACATACTATGCTAATATTCAAATAGTCTAATTGAACAGAAACAATATTTATTTATAAAATCATTTTTTAATATCTGTATTACGTATCCTTATCTATAATTTTAACTACTACACTATGTACTCTTCTTATTTTTTTTATTATAAAGTAGTTTACTTCTCGTTCTTACACTAATTAACATATTCTTTCTCTCCGTACACTTAGTAATACGTTTTACTTCATGGATGAATCTGAATTGTTTTTAATACTTCTATATTTATAATCTAATAATACTCAATTCTACATAATCCAATATGCTGTTAGGAATTTTTCATTTAGGTACATATTAAATTGTGGAACGCTCTCATATTGACAACAAATCTAAATATTGAAGTGGGTTAAAAAAATAAGGAATTTTATTTATGTAAACATTACCAAGGTAATCGTCTGGAGAGTTTATATTTATATATCAATTATCATTAACAATACAATAACAATATGTGTTATAAACAGATAGATTATATTTTCATACTTTTATGGCTTAGTTTATTATTTATTTGGCTTATGTATAGCTTATAGTAATACAAGTACGGTGTTTAAGTATGTATCTCTCCCGGTGACGCGGAAAAGCCGTAGGGCTTTATTATATAATAATAATATATAATATAATTTAAAATTAGTTAAAGTTTTAATGAAATAGGCTGAGTTTCATATTCGTCAGCGTCATCAGCCTATCAGCGCCCACTGCTGAGCAAAGGCCTCTTTCTCTCATGGAGAAGGTTTGAGCATTAATCACCACACTTGCTCAAGACGGGTTGGTGATTTTAAACTTATAATGTGAAATTATAAGACCAGGTTTCCTCACGATGTTTTCCTTCACCGTCTGTCAGTGGTGTCTAAATACTCTTAGAAAGTACATGTGATTCGGAAAAATCACATTGGGATTTGCCAGGATCGAACCCGCGCCCTCAGCAACGACAGGCGGGTCCTTTAACCACTAGGCCACCACTGACTTTAATGAATGCCGCATTCAAGTGTTGCAGGTTTCTTTAACGTCTCTTGAGTTGCAGAAATTTGGCAGACCTAAGGCAAAAAGTGAACCATGACTAATTTTAATTTTTTCATACATGGTAATTTATAAGAGCCCACTCACAGATCCCGATAAACAAGTTATTTGTTTAAAAAATATATTACTTTATCATATATTATAAATTGCAAGGGCAAACGCAACAAAATATAGCAGATGAAAACAAATTAATAACATAAAAATTAAACCAATTAAAATTTATTTTCTAAGAGACAAATAATAAAATTATTGTTTTGTTTAATGGATATGCTTGATAATATGTAGTTTCACTACATGCAGAAATTAACAGCTTTTATTCCATATATCTTCGTTCATTTCAGTTTCAACTTTTTTATTTACTTATATATGTAGTTATTGAATGAGAAACGGCTAATGGATCGTACCTCTGTCGACGATGCATACTGAGACTTAATCCACAGAACCAAATAGAGGACAAAAAATCTCTTAATGATTATTATAAATATGAATCCCATATAATATTGTTATAAATAAATTGAATAAAATAATATGAAACTCAGCCTATTTCATTAAAACTTTTACTAATTTTAAAATATAAGTGTCACCGGTATGTTAATACCTTACCAGACACGTAAACTGAAAGTCCTATTACAAGAATCTATAAATATTTATTTATCATATTTATCAAATTGAAAATCATAATATTGTGGGTCTTAAGATACGTTTTATGTACAGGTGTTTAAAAAAATCATAAGTGTTTTATGAATAAATTTAATGGAAAGATATTATGAGTTAAGTAATTGTCTTAAGTAATAATAAAAGTATGTAGTAGATTTTTTCAGTGATAATTGCATCTATGGGCGACACCCAGGCGCCTTCAAATTCTTTCGACAGTGTTTATTATTTTCTTTATAGCTTTCTAGTTCAGCTTTCCAGATTCTTGAAAAATCTTTCACATATCTTGAGTTTAAATCCTGGAGGATGGAAGCACTTCTGTACTTGAGTATTTGCAACACATAGTCTGACGCTACGCCAGGCAAAAACTTAAATTCAACCATGATGGCTTTACATTCCTTTTGTTTTCTGGCTTAAGTTGTAATTTCAATGCCACAAAATAATTTAGTATCTCTCTTTTCTTTTACTTGCTTTATTCTTAATTAGAGTTGGGTGAATTTTGCATATACAGTTTTTTTTTATATATTACAATCATTATATTTTTGTTTATGACTGTACTTTCTGCGTATCTTGTCTGCAATTGTTTTACCGGAAATAGATTACTAAGGGAAGCGTAGAAACAATGTTTTGGCAGTTATATATATTAAGGAATTCGGTGATTTTTTCACTACTCGTAACATCGTCGCCACATCTTCATGGCTTTAAATTAGTCAGTTAATTATTGTTAGTTATTTTTAAAATATATCCAATATGGTAAGTGATGTGCTATATTATTACCAGTGGTCATGTGCTATTTTTTTTTACCGGAACGCTCATGTATAATTATATAGACAGGGCTGATTCTTGGTAGGTAGCCGTTATGTGCGGTTTCATGACCTAAATTTAACGATAGGGGGCGATTTACTGTGATAATCCTGGCGGCGACGATTTTTTTTCGGTCTCATTTCCCAAACTTGAAAATGACGAAGGGGAGGGGGAGATTTCGTCCAATTTCCACCCCTGGCCATGCTCGGCCGTGTATATAGGTATATGTAAAGAAAAAAAGGAAAAGAAAAGCAAAACATAAAGAAACCCATTTATTAACCCAATAATAAGAACGTTTTAATAAAAATTTACTAATTTACAAATGAATTAATTTATTATTATTATTATTTTCGGGAATTTTGTTTTTCTCAGCCCGTAAGCTGGTGTAAACTACATTCACGGATATAAATCAAGTGAATGCAGTATGTGGTGTGTATCATTTATGTGTTGTATTTATGTTGTTGTGTCATTCTCTTCTAATTGCATGAACTTTCTTACTATTCTGCATGTGTTTTATTATTATTATTATTATATTTTGAGAATTTATGTATTATTATTTTTATTGACATTTTATGTATTATTATTATTTTGTGAATGAGTCATTGTTACTTTGATAATAATATAAATAAATAAATAAATAAAAATAGTTAAGTTTTAAAATACGCATATACTCAAACAAAATTAACAATACATGAAAACACTACATAATGGTTTTTTAAACAATATTCCAAATAGGATCTTGTGGTTAAACTAACCTTGTTTTGTTGTCATCCGCTGAATGATTATACCTTAACAAAGTTTTAACATAATGATCTAGTCAAAAAAATTGGTGTTGTGGTTTGGCCATACATTTTTATAAATAAAAGATTCGCTAGATTTTCAATGAACAATATATTTCTTTGTTCATTTAAAATAATATTCATATAACTGAATTCTCGCTCACACTCTGCCGAACTGCAGGGTACAATATTTATGTACTGAATTAAGATTTCTACATCTTCAGGAATTAACTATGCCTCCATTAGCAATATAAACTCTAAACATATTGATACATAGCATCGGTGATGTTAAATTAAATCTGGTGCATAATAACTGGATTGAATTTCCTTCATAGCCAATTTCAATATCTGCTAAAATTTTTTATTTGTTAAACTTATTCCTAATTTCATAACTTGGATACCCTCTGATGCTTCTATAAATTTGTTTCGGAAAACCAAGGTGGTTCATTCTGGTTTGGGTTCGGTTCAAACCCTTGTTTATAATAATAAATATAAAAAATCGCCATTTTTAGGTTTTGTTTAATACATCAGCTAATTCTCGCAATCATATTTCTTATTTTTTTTTTTGAGTGAGATAATAATATAATTTCAAATTATAAGTTTGAAACCGCACTACCCGTCTTGGGCAAGCTTGGTGATTAATGCTCCAACCTTCTCTATGTGAGATGGGGCCTTTGCTCAGCAGTGGGCTCTGATAGGCTGATGATAATGACGATGATTAATCAAAGTGTTAAAGGAACACTTTTAATTAAATATTTAAACCATGTGTCTACGTTACTATTTCAATATGTGATGTTGTCATTAAACGATATACATAAGTCATGATAAACATTGATTTTTATTTGGGCTTTTATATAACTATTTCTATCCGTGTTTACAATAAAGTTACATTAAGCTTTAAAAAAATAGGAGAACATAAAAAGAAATATTAAAGTAAGGAATATTGGCAGCTTTTATTATGAATAAGTAATATCTTCTATCTGGCAATTTCTCAGCTTTAGCCAGGGTCTCCCTTACATGTTGTAAATAGTTTTTGGGTAATTGTTTTTATTACCGGCCGCCTGCCTGACAAACCCTCTTTGGGAATGCATTAATCAGTGATGTCAAAATACTCTTAGAAAGTACACATGATTCGAAAAAATCACATTTGTACTTGCCAGGGCCAGGATCGAAGCCGCGCCCTCGTGCATGAGAGGCAGGTCTTTTAACTACTAGGCCATCACTGACTCTTTATGAATAAGTAATATAATATGACATAATCCCTTAATGTATTATGTTGTGCGTATATAAAATTGTTCGAGTCATCCGACTGATGTAAATGTGTATGGTTGCTTTTATTATGTACTATGTAGTAAACCCGGCGAACTCCGTTTCGCCACCACAAGGCTTTTATATAACATTTCGTTTGGTGATTAAAAGATGAAGATTTTTTTCTTGTTTTATATTTGAAAAGGAAAATTTTTATTTCATTTCACAACAGTAATGAATTAATTTCAATTACAAAAATGAAGTGTTATTTAGTTGAACTTCTCTAAGTAAATGAAAGTGAATCCAAAGTATAGATACCGAATTGAAGCGTTATACGTGTCCGCAAATTATCCGTTTCATTGAAGTGGTCCTAACTAGGGGTGGAAAGTTGTACCATCCTAGTGCGAATAGCAATCATTCATGTTGTATTGATCCAAACGCGTTGTCTAAGTCTATCCAATAAACTGTAAATTGCCGCTCGCTTTTTCTAGCATCTTTTAAACTCTTCGATAGTGGAGTGTTTTGAACGGTAATTTTTGGTGATTCGCCAAAAAAAAACATGATATTATAGTATTTGTTAAGGCGATCGGTCTTGTATCTTTCGGATCAGTAACTCGTAACAGTAACTTTTATTTTTAGAATAATTCAGAGAAAGGAGGCAACCTCAACCCTGGGTTCGGGATAACTGAACCTCCAAAGCCACTTGATGCAAAGTTCCCTGACGATGTCATCAATGAAAAGGTATTCACATTTCGTGGTTTGCAACATTTAATTAGTTTCTGCTATGAAACGTTTTTAAGTTTTACAAAATTAATAATATTTATAATTTTGTTTATTTTAGGGCGAAGATGTTGAAGAGGAAGATTCTCGGCCGATGTGGGGAAACCAACTCGAATTTCTTATGTCATGTATTGCCACATCAGTCGGGCTTGGTAACGTTTGGCGATTTCCATTCGTCGCTTACCAGAATGGAGGGGGCGCCTTCCTTATTCCCTATATTATAGTACTGATTCTTATCGGAAAACCCATGTATTATATTGAGGGAGTCATGGGACAGTTCAGCTCGAGAAACTCCTTGAAAGTCTGGGCCGTAGCGCCCGCTATGAGAGGTTCCTTTTTTTGTTAAAAATGAGTGTTACTTATAATAATTAGAAGAACATTTAAGCCTTATTATAGTGTATTTTGTAATTTTTCAGGTCTCGGATATGCACAAGCTTTAGTTTGTGGTTATACTCTCTCCTACTATGTATCAATCATCGCTTTATGTATCTACTATCTTGCCATGAGCTTCCAAGCCCCGTTGCCATGGGCTGTATGTGATCCTTCCTGGGAAAATTGTGTGCCTTCATCTAGTACAGGGGAGAATGTAGACATAGTTAATGGAACAAGCAGCGCTGAATTATATTTCGTGTAAGAACTTTTGTTTTTGTCACTATTTTCTATCTATACAAATAATTTTTCTGTTATATTTAAAAAACAATAACCTTTTTCAGAAAAACTGTTCTTCAGCAGAACAATGGACTTGAAGAGGGCCTTGGTAAGTTAGTTAGTTATATGTTAACTTTTTTGTCACTTAAAGTTGTACTTTCATGCGTAATAAATAATATTTTTAATTATACCAGGTCTTCCTCTTTGGTACCTAGTACTTTGCCTGTTAGCATCCTGGCTAATGATCTTTGTGATCGTTTCAAGAGGTGTTAAAAGTTCAGGCAAAGCATCATACTTCTTAGCACTCTTCCCTTACGTGGTGATGATTATTCTTCTTATCAGGTGAGTTAAGACTATATTACTTACATTACGAATGATATAAGATAATTGTTCTCAATTGTAATATTTTGTAACAATAAAATTACTTCATAATAAAATTGTGTTATATTTGCAGTACAGCAATTCTTCCCGGAGCTGGGAACGGTATTTTATTTTTTATCACACCAGATTGGAGTAAATTACTGAACCTTGATGTAAGTAAAGTTTTAATTATTCTTTTTATATAACGAGAAAACATTTTCATTTGCAATGATCTTCAAAACGAATATACGTATAATGATTTTTGGCATTCGAAAATTTTTATAATGAATAATAAAAAATCATCTCCACCACAATAGAACACAATAATCTGTTCATATACTATTAGAAGTTTAATTGTTTTTACGATTATTTTATGTGCTATTACTTAACAGGTATGGTATGCTGCTGTCACACAAGTGTTCTTCTCTTTGTCAGTCTGCGATGGACCCATTGTTATGTTCTCATCTTATAATTCCTTCAAACAAAATGTATACAGGTATATAACCCAGAATGAAATATACAAAGCTATAGCTTTACAAATATATATCTACAAAACATATATTTAAATGGTCATAGTATAATTTTAAGGTTTTAGCCACTTTGTGAATAGAGATCACATGTAGAACTAATGAATAAAAAAGAGTAATTAACTTTTCCAGAGACGCGATGATTGTTACCACTTTAGATACCTTCACCAGTTTGTTATCTGGATTCACAATTTTCGGTATTCTTGGAAACTTGGCGTACGAATTAAAGAGAGAAGTTAGTGAAGTTGTCGGCTCTAAAGGGACGGGACTTGCTTTTGTTTCCTACCCTGATGCCATTGCCAAGACATTTCAACCCCAGGTGAATACAAAATCTATAGTAATTATAAATTACGTCACTCGATATTGCTATGATCTTGAGAAGAGAGACAAAACCTCTCAGCCTTCTATGGAATCACCGTGCGGGGGCCGGGTCCATCGTGTTGCAGAGGGAGGAGCTTCAACAGTGCCTGGGACTTACGACCCAGATGTAGGTTTAAGGGGACCCTAACTAAATGGCGTTAAACGCTCACCTCCACTGTCCAAGCTCCTCTCCCTACCTAAACAAATTTGAAAAGAACCTACTAGGGCTGCATTTGATGTACGTTCTAAGAATTTATTTATGTGTGTTCTGAAGAATCCCAAATCTTTTAGTAGGTTGTAGAGAGATTTGGCTGTTATACTTCTCGCTGCTACTTCTACGCGTACTAATTTACAATGAACCTATTCGTAGAGTGTTCGTTAGTGAGCTCGCAAAAGTTGTTGACCTTGACGGCATGGTCTTTGGAGATGTTGGTTTCACAAGGAACCGTGGGCTCTATCGGCATAATGCACCTTCAAATTCACGAAAACACAAAAATGTCTGGTCTATGTATGATTTCTGAAATCCTATTGTGACGACGCAACTATTAGCTGTCATCCAGGAGTACCTTCCATCCCACCAGCAAATGCTTAGTAGATCCTACTGCCTTTTCACAGATATAACAAGTTTTTTCGGTACCTTTACCCCATCGTACTAAATTACTCCGATCTGAGAACCTCTGGAACGTATTGCGATAAAATTTTAGCAATGCTGGCGACCATTCATGAATTAAGGTGCGCCATTTTAGTGCTTATGGAATGAAAAAATCTCCTAGGGCTAACCACTCGTTTGGCATATTTAAACTAATTGCATGGATCTTATATTTATCGTTCTCGTCTTGCCAAATAAAAGACTTCAATATATCCGTATCTTGAACTTTCTTACTTGATCCTACCCCTTCTCTGTTATTTTGTGCTCCCTACGAAATTAGCTGAAGACTAGCCACTGCTACAACCTAGACCAATGTATTTATTTCGAGAAACTGTATGTATTATATTTGAACAATACAATGTATAATATTATCTTAAATTTTTCAGTTATTCTCAGTACTCTTCTTCTTGATGCTGGTTGTACTTGGTATTGGATCAGCTGTAGCCCTCTTGTCTTCTATTAACACACTTCTATTAGACGCATTCCCTCGCGTCAGAACTGTCTACATGTCTGCCTTCTCATGCACTATTGGTTTTGCTTGTGGTCTTGTATACGTCACGCCTGTAAGTAAATAAAACATTGTTAATTTTTTTTTTTATAAGCCATGTTTTCGGTTTTGTACTTTGAAGGTTTGATTGTAAAAACGCTATCGCTACAATATAATTATAATTTATAAATTTGAACATTTGTATGAATATAAATTTAGAAAATAAATTGATATATTTTACAGATAAACAGAATGTCTTAAATTTTTTTAGGGTGGACAATTTGTGTTGGACTTGGTTGACTATTTTGGTGGAACTTACCTTGCTCTTTTCTGCGGTATAGTTGAAGTTATAGGTTACTTCTGGATTTATGGTAAGCATGTCAATTTTAAGTATGTAGTTAATTTTTTTTTTAATACAGGAAAGCTTGTTTCAAAATGAACCCACTATTAACATTATTAATTTTATTCCAGGACTGGAAAACGTATGTTTAGACATTGAATTCATGTTGAATATGAAGACCTCTATATACTGGCGGTTCTGTTGGGGTTTCATTACTCCAGCTATGATGGCTATCGTCTTCATTTACGCTCCCTTATCCTCCGATAGTATAGAGTACTCCGGATATACTTACCCATTAGCGGGTTATGGTCTGTATTCTTTCATTACATAAATTACACCTACCTACCTATACCTCACTATAGTTTTAAAGCAGCTAAGATTACTTAAAATTACTAGATTTAAAAATTTTCCGTCAATCATATTCTGGAAGAAACCTGAATATTAAAAAATTGTATATTAATATTTATTAATACTCACGTTGCATTTTATATTTTACAGTTTCTGGATACATGCTGATGGGCATTGGAGTATTCTTTGTTCCCCTAGTTATTCTGCTGACATTATACAAATACAGAACCGGCAGATTTTGTGATGTAAGTTTAATTAGCTAACAATACAAGTAGCTTTTGACTAGAACAAATTTTAATAATAAGTCAAATCAGCAAAAAAATCAGACATTTATACCAACAAAGACAAGTGATAGGAAATAACTTAAAAATTCTTAATTTAAATTAATCTTATCTCCGAGATTCAGGCTTCATTCAATAAGATATAATAATTGAAAAATTTATCCAAATATTATTATTATTTAGTTTGGATATCGTTAAACTCGTAATGTAGCAATATATATTTGAAAGTTTTCTCTAACCAAGCTTAGATCATATAAAAAGTATACAATAAGAATTCCAATAGCTCAAGTAACTCATTCACAATCAACTAACATTCACAATGAAGTTTTGCAGGCGAAAAAGGAAAAATGGTATTCTATGGCAATCATAATAAAATAGTATGCAATCTGAACTTTCAAGTTTTTGTGGCAACATCAAGTTAGATTAGGTATATTTAATAAAAGTAAATGTAAATTTGACGTTTTCAGACTCTGAAGAAGTCTTTTACACCCAAAGAATCTTGGGGTCCCAGGTCTGCAAGTACCAGACGCGAATGGAAACTTTTCAAAGAAGAAGTTGAAAGGGAAAGAAAATTGGTGCCGAGGTCATGGCTGAAACACGTTGGTTTAAGTCTGATAGGAGGATACAAACGTCCTTGATTATACTGTTTTGATATTATTTAATTAGAAATAATTAGTAATCTGAAAACTTAATAGATATTAAATTTATTTTCACTCTATTGTTTAAGACATCAAGAAATATATGTATTGTATTCAATATGTCACTAGGCAATTTCACTATATATATGTTTTTTATTATTGTAAATATAGTATGCATATAAAATGCATTTGACAACTTCTCCACATTATACTCGCATATGTCACTACACTTCACACAGTCGACTCATTCCAGAGAGCACTATTCTGTGGTAGGTTTTATTATTATTTAACATATATTTTAAGTTGATAACTAAGTTTTGTATAATAATAGGGAAAATAAACAAATTAGCAAACTATATAATGAATTTTATTTTTCATGTCACCTATATCGTCTAACCAATTTTCTTTCTTAAAATATAGTAGTAAAGTTTTTCTAGGTGGTAGAGCCTAGCTGTAGTCAAGTAACTACAGCTCGGACATGGGCTGGCTCGACCGGGGAAGTACCACCCTCTCACAGACGATCGACGTGAAGTAGTCATTTATGGTTGCGTTTCGTTCGATGATTGAGAGAGCCGGTTGCCCTTTCTCTTTCTGTAGTTCTTGTAAAATATATCAAAAAAAATCTCCAACTCATTATAGTTTACGTGTACCTACACTCGTTTTATTTTATTTTCATAAGAAATAAGCAATACGTACTATGCGAATATTCAAAATAAAGTCTAATTGAACAGAAACAATATTTATTTATTAAATCATTTTTCATATCTGTATTACGTATCCTTATCTATTATTTTAATTTCAGATTTTTTTTTTACTTTTTATCTAAGATTAAGTAGTAGTCTAGGTACGTCTGTCTGATAAGTTTTAATTCGTGAAAACTTTTAACAATAGTATTTTTAATAAACTTAAGAGTCCTGACAACATTATGCGGTTCATTCTTCTCTGTTACTACTTCGATATACGAGTATCTATTAATTTCGTCGAATTGTTTAGTTGCTTTCCTCCCGTTCTAACACTAATTAACATATTCTTTCTCTCCCTATGTAGTACGCTTAGTAGTTCGCATTACCTGAAGGATGAATCGGAATTGTTTAAAGTATGTCTCTGTCTATCATCATCAGCCTATCAGAGCCCACTGCTGAGCAAAGGCCTCTTTCTCACATGGAGAAGGTTTGAGCATTAATTTCAAATTTCAAACTTATAATTGTGAAATTATAAGTTCAGGTTTCCTCACGATGTTTTCCTTCACCGTATGTCAGTGGTGTCTGAATACTGTTAGAAAGTACATATCACTCGGAAAAATCGTATTGGTACTTGTCAAGATCGAACCCGCGCCCTCGACAACGAGCGGCGGGCCCTTTAACCACTAGGCCACCACTGACTATATTTATAATTTTTTAATACTCAATTCTACATAATCTAATATGCTGCTAAAAATCTCCTACTATTCTATTAAATTTTGGCACGTTCTCTAAAAATCTAAATATTGAATCATTTATATAATAATTACCAAGTTAATTATCTCAATAATTTATACTTATATATAATAAATATATAATTCACACTATAATTACCTTGTATGTAATTCTACTCTGCTGTTTTATAAACCGATATAATTATGTTTTAACGCTTAGTATATACTTTTTTCTTATATTTATTGCTTATAGTATGTAATACAAGTAGAAACGGTGTTTATGTATGTATCCCTCCCGGTGACGAGGAAAAGCCGCAGGGCTAACAGCAATATGCGTTACAAAAAAAAAGGTTGTGAATGTAATTTTTTTTAAACGACACTAATATTTTTCTGATATATTACGCGTCCATTTTTTTCTTGTCAAAAACTACATACTCCCTACGTTGTGGCTACTTTTCAGCAACCATGGTCAGGAGACATCTCATCTGCCGTGATCACGGCTGCTGAAAAGTAGCCGAAACTTCGGGAGTATGTTTTTTACAAAAAATAAAGTACGCGTAGTGTATCCGAGAAATATTAGTTCATTTATATTAATAAAACTCAGGAAATACTTAGATCTCAGTACCTTCATGTAAAATTATTTTTATTCTTGATTCCAAAAGGAACTACCCATTTCCTATTTTTAAAATCTCTACACTTATTATTTTTCTTTTCCTGTAACAGTTTTGTTAATCAATCATTTCTAAGGCAGCTCTATTTAGAGTAGTACAATATAAGCAAACACCAGAGAACTTTATCAGAACTTGTAAATTAGATAATAGCATGATCAAAGAGAGTAGCTTTTGAGCTGAGACTGTAACTATTTCTTTTCAAAAATAAGGTTTTAGCAAACATTAAGAAATTCTCTTTATTCAACAATCTTGTTTATTTATAATATCATTAGTTCGCACTTACTTACTTCTTAGATATGACTTAGTTTAAGTAAAATGAGCTGATAATAGTGAAGTTAAATGAAAAAAAAACAACAACAGGATCGGAGCAATTCTATATTCTTATTAAATTTTTCACAAGTATAGTTTATAGAATACGTCGATTGAAACCGAATGTTTGATCAGAGTTCACATAAATATTGAAAGGGAATATTCCTAATATAACATTTTATTCAATGTATTATTTTAATATACATAAAAAATTTAGCACATATTTTTTTATTGTTGTTAATAACATCATCATAGTAAGAATAGATGCTTGCCCTTTATTAAGTTTACATGAGATAAATGTAAGTTTTAATGAATGCAGCATTCAAATGTTGCAGGTTTCTTTAACGGTTCCCGAGTTGTAGAAATTTGCCAGACCTAAGGCAAAAAGTGAATCATGACTATGTACTTTTTCTTAAACTATTTCTAAAACTTGAACTAATTTTAAATTATACGTGTCACCGGTATGTTATTACCGTACATATCAGACAAGTAAACTGAAAGTCCTATTACAAGAATCTATAAATATTTATTTATCATATTTATCAAACTGAAAATCATAATATTGTGAGTCTTAAGATATATTTCATGTACAAGTGATTAAAAAAATCGTAAGTATTTTATAAATAAAATTAATGGAAAGATATTATGAGTTAAGTTATTGTTTTAAGTAATAATAAAAGTAGTAGATTTTTTCAGTGATAATTTCTTCTTTGAGCGACACCCAGTCGCCTTCGAATTCTTTTAACAGTGTCTATTATTTTCATTACAGTTTTTCTAGTTCAGCTTTTCAAGTTCCTTGATAAGTATATCACATGTCTTGAGTTGAAATCCTTAATGAGGGAAGCACTTCTATGCTTGACTATTTGCAACACATAGTCTGATGCTGCGCCTAGCAACACTTCAATTCAACCTTAATGGTTAAAAGTTCATTACATGAGACTCCTCTTGTTTTGTGGTTTAAGTTATAGTTTGAATGCCACAAAATAATTTTGTATCTCTCTTTTCTTTTCTCTTCACTTCTACGAGGATTCCTGGTACTGTTAAAAGTATATTCATCCGGTTTTTATAGCTGAACCACACAATATGCCTATGTCCATCAATATTACAGTAGTAGAGGAGTTAGGTAGATGTGCATAGTTAACAGATTCAGAAGTTATTTCGAGGTAAGTTATATTCATGTTTCCAGAAATGTTGACATTAATTCTATTTGTATTTACTGTGTTACTTAGTAGAACAATCATTTAACACCATAGAATTTTATCTCTGCTTTTAAGCCTACGACGTTATTAAAATCTATAAATCAAAAATATGAAGGAATGATCAAAAAGACCTTTATGAAAACAGGCTACGATATTTTATTCTTAATTTGAGTTGGGTGCATGTTCGCATATGGCTACAGTTTTTTAATATTACAATCATTATATTTTTCTTTGTGACTGTACATTCTGCGTATCTTGTCTGAAACTGTTTTGCCGGAAATAGATTAAGGGAAGCGTAAAACCCAATGTTTTGGCGATTATATAAATCAATGAATTTCGAAGACTTTTCACTACTCGTAACATCGTCGCCACATCTTCATGGCTTTAAATTAGTCAGTTAATTATTATTAGTGACTTTTAAAATATATCCAATATGGTAAGTGATGTGCTAATTATTTTTTTTTACCGGCACGCGTGTGTATAATTATATAGACAGGGCTGATTTTTGGTAGGTGGCCGTTCTGTCCGGTCTCATGACCCAAATTTAACGACAGGGGGTATTAACTGTGATAATCCTGGCGGCGACGTTTTTTTCGGTCTCATGTCCCAAATTTTACAATGATGAAGGGGGGAGATTTCCTCCAATTTCCACCCCTGGCCAAGCTCGGCCCTGTATATGTAAAGGAAAAAAGGAAAAGGAAAGCAAAATATAACGAAACCCATTTATTAACCCAATAAAAAGAACGTTTATAAAAAAATAGTTAAGTTTTAAAATACGCATATACTCAAAACATAATTAACAATACATGAAAATACTATGTAACGGTTTTTTATAAAATATTAGCAATAGGATTATGTTTAGGATCTTGTGGTTGAATTTACCTTGTTTTCTTGTCATCCGCTGAATGATTATACCTTAATCAAGTTTTAACATAATGATCTGGTTTAAAAAATTGGTGTAGTTGGCCATTCATTTAATAAATAAAAGATTTGCTAGATTTTTAATGAACATTATATTTCTTTGTTCATTTAAAATAATATTCATATAACCGAATTCGCGCTCACACTCTGCCGAACTGCAAGGTACAATATTTATGTATCTAATTAAGATTTCTACATCTTCAAAAAAAATAAGAGAACATAAAAATCTTTAAGGAATAATATCTACAGTTATAGAAATATTAGAGTAAGGCATATTAGCATCTTTTATTATGAATAAGTAATATAACATAACATAATCGCTTAATGTATTACGTAGTCCGTGTATAAAATTGTTCGAGTCACCTGACTGACGTAAATGTGTATGGTTGCTTTTATTATGTATTGAAAATGATACATTATCAACTAATTGCAATGGCAAATGCAAAAAGATATATAGTACATGAAAACGAATTAATGTCATAAAAATTAAACCAATTAAAATTTATTTACCGAGCGAGAAGTACCCCAATTATTGTTTTGTTTAATGTGTATGTTTGGTAATAGTTCCCCTTGTTACACTACATACAGAAATTAACAGCTTTCATTCAATATCGTTATTGAATGAGAAAAGGGCAATTTTTCGCTTCTTTGTCGACGATGCAAACTTCGACTTAATACGCAGAACTGAATAGAGGCTAAAAATCTCTTAATGATTATTATAAAAATGAATCCCATATAATATGGTTATAAATAGATTTAATAAGATAATATGAAACTTATTAAAATTTTTAGTAATTTTAAAATATAAGTGTCACCGGTATGTTAATACCTTACCAGACACGTAAACTGAAAGTCCATATTACAAGAATCCATAAATATTATTTATCATATTTATCAAACTGAAAATCATAATATTGTGGGTGTTAAGATATGTTTTATGTACAATTGCTAACAAAAATCATAAATATTTTAATCAGTTTCGAATTAATATTTCCGTGTGATTAATAACATTAAAATCCCTAAATCAAAAATATGAAGCAATGATCAAAAAAACCTGTATGAAAACAGGCTACGATGTTTTATTCTTAATTTGAGTTGGGCGCATGTTCGCATATAGCTACAGTTTTTTAATATTACAATCATTATATTTTTCTTTATGACTGTACTTACTGCGTATCTTGTGTGAAACTGTTTGGCCGGAAAAAGATTAATTAGGAAGGGTAAAACCCAATGTTTTGGCGATTATATAAATCAATAAATTTTAACGATTTTTTCACTAATCGTAATACCGTCGCCACATCTTCATGGCTTTAAATTAGTCAGTTAATTATTCTTAGTGGATTTTCAAAATATATTCAATATGGTAAGTGATGTGCTATTTTATTACCGGAATCCTGGCGGTGACGTTTTTTTTCTATCTTATGTCCCAAATTTGACACCGACGGAGGGGGGGAGATTTCTCCTTTCCGCCCGTCGCCAGAATCGGCACTGTAAAAAGTAAACAGGACAGGAAAATAATAAAGAACCCCATTTATTAACCCAATAACGTTTAATAAAAAATAGTTTACAAATTATAAAATACGCATATACTCAAACAAAATTAACAATACATGAAAACACGAATAGTGACTATCGTGTCGATGCGAGTGTTGACCGTTGTCCAGGAGTACCTTACATCTCACTAGCAAATGCTTAGCAGTTCCAACTGCCATGCCCCAGATATAGCAAGTTTTTTCGGTACCCTTACCCCATCATACTCAATTACTCTGATCTGGGAGAGTCATCTGGATCGGATTGAGATAAAATTTTAGCAGTGCTAGTGACCAATCATGAATTAAAATGCGCCATTTTAGTGCTAACGGGATGCAAAAATCTTCTATGTCTAACCACTCGTTCTGTGTCTCTAAACTCATAGCATGGATCTTATATTTATCATTCTCGTCTTGCCGAATAAAAGACTTCAATATATCCGTATCTTAGGCCTTCTTACTTGATCCTGACCCTACTCTGTTACTTTGTGCTCCTTTCATAAACTGCTTATGAAATTGAAGTCTTGACTCTAGCTCTGGGCATCTTTGTCTTTTGGGAGTAAAGTAGTTATGTAATGTAATAACGTCATCGTGGAATTTCCACAGGATATATCTCTTGGAAACTCTTAGGTGTTCATAGAGCTCTGATGGCCTTTATAGACTCATCCCAAAATTAATGCGATCCCTGAATAAAGCTGATGAATCAACCGTTGGCGCAAGCCCGAGTCATAACTTCAACTTCTATATGATGCCTGGATCTAATTGTGACAAAAGGGTCATTGATCTAATTTTGACAAAACTTTTTGAAGGGCTTTCTTTATTTATTAATACAGAAAACTTTAATTTTGAGTAGTATGACGCGATCATATCTCCACCTAGGGGTGGAAAGATGTACCATCTTAGCGCGAATGGCATTCATTCATGTTGTATCGACCCAAACGCTTTATCTAAGTCTACCCAATAAACTGTAAGTTGCCGATCACTTTTTATAGCATTTTTTAAACTCTCCTATAGTAAAATGTTGTGTTCGAAGCACCTAGAAATCCCAGGTAAAAACCCTTGCTAGTGATTAGACCAACAAAATAGAAAAATATTTTAGGTAATATAGTTTTTGTTAAAGATATCGGTCTAGTATCTTTCGGCTCAGTAACTCGTAACAGTAACTTTTATTTTTAGAATAATTCAGAGAAAGAAGGCAACCTCAACCCTGGGTTCGAGATAACTGAACCTCCAAAGTCACTTGATGCAAAGTTCCCTGACGATGTCATCAATGAAAAGGTATTCAAATTTCGTGGTTTATGTATATTAAGGATTTAAAAAAAACACATATAGTGCACTTTAAATTTAAGATTTTTTAATTGTTGCAACATCTAATTAGTTTCTGCTATGAAACGTTTTTAAGTTTTACAAAATTAATAATATTTATAATTTTGTTTATTTCAGGGCGAAGATGTTGAAGAAGAAGATTCTCGGCCGATGTGGGGAAACCAACTCGAATTTCTTATGTCATGTATTGCCACATCAGTCGGGCTTGGTAACGTTTGGCGATTTCCATTCGTCGCTTACCAGAATGGAGGTGGAGCCTTCCTTATTCCCTATATTATAGTACTGATTCTCATCGGAAAACCTATGTATTATATTGAGGGAGTCATGGGACAGTTCAGCTCGAGAAATTCCTTGAAGGTCTGGGCCATAGCGCCCGCTATGAAAGGTTTGTAATTATTTTTGTTATAGATGAGTGTTTCTTATAATAATAAGAGGTAAAGTTTAGCATTATTATAGTGTATTTTGTAATTTTTCAGGTATCGGATATGCACAAGCTTTAGTTTGTGGTTATATTCTCTCCTACTACGTATCAATCATCGCTTTATGTGTCTACTATCTTGCCATGAGCTTCCAAGCCCCCTTGCCGTGGGCAGTATGTGATCCTTCCTGGGTAAATTGTGTGCCTTCATCTAGTACAGGGGAGAATGTAGACACAGTTAATGGAACAAGCAGCGCTGAATTATATTTCGTGTAAGAACTTTTGTTTTTGTCACTATTTTCTATCTATACAAATATTTTTTCTGTTATATTATAAAACAATAACCTTTTTCAGAAAAACTGTTCTTCAGCAGAACAATGGACTTGAAGAGGGCCTTGGTAAGTTAGTTAGTTATATGTTAATTTTTTTGTCATTTAGACCCAGTTTTCCCAATCGATGTTTGTTTAACCTAATCACAGCATTTACTAACCAACCCTCAAAATTATGAATGTCTGTTAAAATATTTACGTCCCACGATAAATAATTAACAACGCATTATTAAACGTCATGTCAAATGACCGACTGCCAAATTATTCGTTCTTGTTATAAGACGACCAAGTGGAAACTATAGCGTTTAACACGGCACTTTTGCCACAATGCACCACTTTATACTTTGATCGTATATATCCCTCGATACATCACTTGTAAGCTAATTCGACCAAATTTTATATATCGTTGGTTGCATAAATTTAGCACACAAAAAGCTTTCTTTTCAATTTACTAGGTGTAACTTGTCAAAATCGTGTTGTCAATAAATTGTGTTATAAATATAGATATAAATTGTTTTCAAGTTATAAGAAATAAAAAGAAAACTTAATTTGCAATGTCATAGAAAAGCTGGAGGCAAGATCATCATACTAAATGTAATTTTAATTCACTTTATTAATAATAACAAGGAAATAGTCGAAACTGACAAAAGATATGACGTTACTATGGTTACAAGAAATCAGGGCTGCGATTGGACAATTGATTTTTGACAATGCCATTAACATTCTGTTAGCCATTAGACGGAGCTCCAGAGCGGGGATTAATATTAGTGGCTGGTTAAGACATTTAAACGGAAATCTGTGCGTGGTGGGACGCTCGATACATCTAAGGCCTCGGCCTCGAATTTTGCGGGCAGCGGAGCGGCGGCGGCGGCGGCACGGAAACGCATACTGTTCTCCAAACTAGCGGGCAGCGGGCACCGCTGTATTCGAGGGTCGGTCCATTTGATTATACGCGTAAGATCCTGCCGCTCCCGCTGCCCGCAAAATTCGAGGCCGAGGCCTAACAGAGCATCAAACGCCTTAACACAATGTTACTTATTTAACATCGACTGGTGACACTGGGTCTTGAAGTTGTACTAAAACTTTCATGCGTAATAAATCATATTTTTAATTATACCAGGTCTTCCTCTTTGGTACCTAGTACTCTGCCTGTTAGCATCCTGGTTGATAATCTTTGTGATCGTTTCAAGAGGTGTTAAAAGTTCAGGCAAAGCATCATACTTCTTAGCACTCTTCCCTTACGTGGTGATGATTATTCTTCTTATCAGGTGAGATAAGACGCTATTACTTACATTACGAATGATATAAGATAATTGTTCTCAATTCTTATATTTTGTAACAATTAAATTACTTCTTTATAAAATTGTGTTATATTTTCAGTACAGCAATTCTTCCCGGAGCTGGGGATGGTATTTTGTTTTTTATCACACCAGATTGGAGTAAATTAGTGAAACTTGATGTAAGTAAAGTTTTAATTATTCTTTTTATATAACGAGAAAATATTTTTATGTACAATGTATTCCAAAACGAATATACATATAATGATTTTTGGCATTCGAAAAATTTTATAATGAATAGTAAAAAATCATCACCACCACAAAAGAAGATAATTATCTGTTCATATACTGTTAGAAATTTAATCGTTTTTACGATTATTTTATGGGCTATTACTTTACAGGTATGGTATGCTGCTGTTACACAAGTGTTCTTCTCTTTGACTGTCTGCAATGGACCCATTATTATGTTCTCATCTTATAATTCCTTCAAACAAAATGTATACAGGTATATAACCCAGAATTAAATATACAAAGCTATAGCTTTACAAATATATATCTACAAAACATATATTTAAATGATCATAGTATAATTTTAAGGTTTTAGCCACTTTGTGAATAGAGATTATATGTAGAACTAATGAATAAAAAAGAGTAATTAACTTTTCCAGAGACGCGATGATTGTTACCACTTTAGATACCTTCACCAGTTTGTTATCTGGATTCACAATTTTCGGTATTCTTGGAAATTTGGCGTACGAATTAAAGAGAGAAGTTCGTGAAGTTGTCGGCTCTAGAGGGACGGGACTTGCTTTTGTTTCCTACCCTGATGCCATTGCCAAGACTTTCCAACCCCAGGTGAAAACAAAATCTATAATAATTATTAATTACATCACTCCACATTATTATGAACTAAATAATATAAAAAATAATAAACGTGTAAAACTAATTTTCTTTCTTTTTTTGGCTACCCAAAATTTTTAATGGTCAACAAATAATAAAGAATTTTTTGAAGGTTTTTTAAAGGCTTATTTGTTATAAATGATATTGACTGAAGACTAGCCACATCCACAACCTAGACCAATATATTTATTTCAAGAAACTGTATGCATTATATTTGAACAATGCTTATCATAAATATGTATTTCAGTTGTTCTCAGTACTCTTCTTCTTGATGATGGCTGTACTTGGTATTGGATCAGCTGTAGCTCTCTTGTCATCTATTAACACTCTTCTATTGGACGCTTTCCCTCGCGTCAGAACTGTCTTCATGTCTGCCTTCTCATGCACTATTGGTTTTGCTTGTGGTCTTGTATACGTCACGCCTGTAAGTAAATAAAACACGGTTAATTGATTTTTTTAAATAAGCCATGTTTTCGGTTTTGTACTTCGAAGGTTTGATTGTAAAAACACTATCCCTTAAATATTATTATAACTTATTTACATTTGTATGAACAAATATAAATTTAGAAAATAAAATGATATATTTTACAGAATGTCTTAATGTTTTTTTTAGGGTGGACAATTTGTGTTGGATTTGGTTGACTATTTTGGTGGAACTTACCTTGTTCTTTTCTGCGGTATAGTTGAAGTTATAGGTTTCTTCTGGATTTATGGTGAGCATTTCAAAATAAAATTTGAAGTTGTTAAAACGTTATTTTTTTAATACAGTAACACTTGTTACAAAATGAACCCACTATTAACATTATTAATTTTATTCCAGGACTGGAAAACGTATGTTTAGACATAGAATTCATGTTGAATATGAAAACCTCTATATACTGGCGGTTCTGTTGGGGTTTCATTACACCAGCTATGATGGCTATTGTCTTCATCTATGCTCCCTTTTCCCCCGATAGTATAGAGTACTCCGGATATACTTACCCATTAGCCGGTTATGGTGTGTATTCTATTATTACATAAATTACACCTACCTACCTATACCTCACTATAGTTTTTATTAATATTTATTAATACTCACGTTGCATTTTATATTTTACAGTTTCTGGATACATGATGATGGGCATTGGAGTATTCTTTGTTCCCCTAGTTATTCTGCTGACATTATACAAATACAGAACCGGCAGATTTTGTGATGTAAGTTTAATTAGCTAACAGTACAGGTAGATTCAGATCAGATATTATAATTGAAAATTTCATACAAATTTTACTATTATTATTTAGTTTTGGATATCTTTAAACTCGTAATGTAGCAATATATATTTGAAAGTTTTCTCTAACCAAACTTAGATCATAGTAGAAGTATACAATTAGAATTACTTAAATTAAAAAGGAAAAATGGTATTCGATAGCAATCATAATAAAATAATATTGCAATATACATATTACACTACTATGAACTTGCAAATTTTTGTGGCAACAAATAAGATTGTTTTATATATTCTAATGTATATTTGACGTTTTTAGACACTGAAGAAAGCTTTTACACCCAAAGAATCTTGGGGTCCCAAGTCTGCAAAAACTAGACGCGAATGGAAACTTTTCAAAGAAGAAGTTGAAAGGGAAAGAAAATTGGTGCCGAGGTCATGGCTGAAACACGTTGGTTTAAGTCTGATAGGAGGATACAAACGTCCTTGATTATATTGTTTTGATATTATTTAATTAGTAATAATTAGTAAACTGAAAACTTAATAGATGTGAAATATATTTTCACTCTATTGTTTATGATATTATAGCGTATCGAGGAAAAGATGCGCAATATCAATAGATATTTTTTTTAATTTTGTAAATATAGTAAACGTAAAATGTTTTAGTAGGGAAAAATTAATTGAAAACCTGTCCATATTATACAGGGTGACTGGTGAATTACTATCGATACTTGAGTACGTGATATTTGACGATCATATATGACAGAATAAAAATTAATATAACATAAATATTAATAAACTTTTAAGTAAAGTTAACCAAAAGTTATGTAATTAATTACGCATCGTGTGAACACCCTATAGATTAGGTATACACACACACTCACACATACGCGTGCGGCGGCGTAGTGTTGTATCAGCACGCCGCCGCACGCGTCCACACTTGGAACACTTGGAACGTGTCAACACTTTATTTATTTATACGGAAATTTGGTCAAAAATTAAGTACCTATTTTTTTTACATAATTCGAATGAGAATCATGTACCGAGTATTCTCCTTAAATATTGATAGTAATTCACCAGTCACCCTGTATATGTGACTAAACTTGAGGCAGTCCATTAAAACGCAAAGATTCACTCATTTCAGACAGCACTATTCTGTTGTAGGATTTATGTATTTAAGTTAATAACTAAGTTTTGTATAATAACGGGTAACATAAATAAATAAATAAATAATGAATTTTAACTACAAAAATGAAACTAAATAATGAATTTTACTTTTCTTGATACCTATTTCGTCTAATCAATTTTCTTCCTTAAAGTATAGAAGTAAAGTTTTTCCAGGTGGTAGAGCCTACCTGTAGTTAAGTAACTACAGCTCGAACATGGGCTGGCTCGACCGGGGAAGTACCACCCTCTCACAGACGATCGGTGTGAAGTAGTTAATAAATGACTACGTTTCGTCCGATGAGTGAGAGAGCCGGTTGCCCTTTCAGTTTTCCCACCTTTCCTGTCATTTCCTTATTCCCACCCCTCTCTATTCCTCAACAACTAAGGTTGGCAAGGCATCCGCAACATCTCTGTTGCTAATATCCATGGACACGGTGACTACTGCCCATCAAGTAAGCCGTCTGCTAGTTTGCCACCTTTTACATAAAAAAATCTAACTGCCTTTGAGATAGAAAATGAAAAGTGTCAGAAGTATTTTGGTGGTTGAAACATATTTAATTTAAAATTATTTTCGACATCTTAAATAATTAAAGTATTTGATACATAACAAAAGGTTTCAGTAATTATTATACAATTTCAATATAAAGTCATTATACTCGGGATTAAGATAGTCATGAAGATTAATTTAGGTGGTTGGTCAATCACACAATATTTTAGCATGATCTATTCCCCGCAACGTACGTTAAGAAGAGAGTTGTTGTATTTTAAGAAAAGTGTTTTGAGTGTTTTTAGTAACGGTTTTAGTAACGTCACTAATTGTATTGAAATTTATGTTATTAATATGTATTTAAGCCTATGTTCATTGCACATCCACGATTCTATATTACAGTATAGAATCTTCAAATTCGTTTTGTAGTTCTTGTAAAATGTCACAAAAAAATTCTCCAACTCATTATATTTACGTCTACCCTCTTTTTTTATTTTCATAAGAAATAAGCAATACATACTATGCGAATATTCAAATAGTCTAATTGAACAGAAACAATATCTATTTATTGAATAATTTTTTCATATCTGTATTACGTATCCCTATCTATAATTTTAATTTCAGATAAAATTTTTAACTAATTATTATCTAAGATTAAGTAGTAGTCTAGGTACGTCTGTTTGATAAGTTGTTTTGTGATAATCTTTAACAATAGTATTTTTAATAAGCTTAAGAGACCTGGCAACACTATGCGGTTCATTCTTCTCTGTTAATTAATACGTAGCTTTCCTCACGTTTTTACACTAATTAACATATTCTTTCTCTTCTTGCGCAATACGCTCAGAAGAACGCCTTACATAATTGAACATGCTGCTAACAATCTCCAATTATTCTATTAAAATGTGGAACGCTCTCAACAAATCTAAATATTGAATCATTTACATTACCAAGTTAATTGTCTCAACAATTTTTACTTATAAATCATTAACAATGTAATTACTTTATATGTAATTCTACTCTGCTGTCTTATTAACAAATATAATTATATTTTTATGGCTCAGTTTATTCTTTAGCAATTATACATTACAAAAAAAAAATTGTATGTAAAATTATTTTTATTACCATTGATTCCAAAAATAACTAGCCATTTCCTATTTTTATAATCTCTAACCTTATTATTTTTATTTGCCTATGACTGTTTCAGAATTTCATGAAAGAGATAATTGCAAATATAAAATTTTACAAAACTATTTTTTGGATGGTGATTTATTGAGTCATATTTTTGAACGTAATATTTGGTGAATACGCCATGAAAGTCCATCAATTCATATCGCTATCTTTTTTCATGGTTACTAATTACCTTTACCTACATATGACAGATTGCTTTAAAATTGATTATCATGATTATTAAATTATACTACGCAATTGAAAAGATAATGATCAATATTTTTTTTGATTATTTTTAAATTATACTCGTTTTCTCCTATAAATTTTATAAAGATGGTATTTATAATATTTTAATATACATAAAATATCTTAACAAAGAACTGTTAAGTAACTAAATATATAAATTGGAAACTTATTATTTGTTGTTGATAGTAACATTCTTATAGTCAAAATTTATTCTTATCCTTTATTAGGTTCACATTAAATGTGAGTTTTAATAAATACAACATTCAAATATTCCAGGTTTCGTTAATAGTTCTTCATCATCGTCATCATCACTTCAGCCATGTGGGGTCCACTGCTGGAGATAGGTCTCCCTCATCGACTTCTAAGTACTTTGGTCCGAAGCGACCTGCATCCACCGTGAACCCGCAGCCTTGACTAAGTCGTCCGTCTGTCCGTCCGTCGAGAACTTCTATAGTTCTTAGGTTAGTTATTTTGTTACTATAAAGAGATATCGCCTACGACAGGGCACAAATTTGGCAGACCTAAGGCAAAAAGTTAACCATACTTTTTCTACGTGGTAATTTATATGAGCCCAGTCACATTTACAGAAACACAAGTTATTTGTTTCAAAAACTGATTACATTATCAACTTATTGCAAAGGCAAACTCAACAAAGTATAGCAGATGAAAACGAATTAATGACATAAAAATTAAACCAATTAAATTTTTTTTACTAAGAGAGAAGTAATACAATTATTAGATTTTTTTAATGGTATGCTTGGTAATATTTTCCCTCGCTCATTTTTGTTTCAACTTTTTTATTTATCTAGCTATGGAAATTAGAAATGGGCAATGATTTATACATCTATCGATGATGCAAACTTCGAATAAGTACAGACTACAGAAAATTGAATAGAGGCTAAAAATCTCTGATCATAAATATGAATCCCCTATACTATTGTTATAGATAGATTGTATAAAATAATATAGAAATAGCCTATTTCGTTTAAACGTATATAAGTGTCTCCGGTATGTTATAATACCTTACCAGACATCACCTTTAAGTCCTTATTACAAGGTGCTATAAATATTCATTTATCATATTAATCAAAATGAAAATCATTAACATTGTTAATATTCGTCTTAAGATACGTTTGATGTACAAGTGCTTAAAAAAATCATAAGAATTTTATGAACAAAATATATGGAATAATATTATAACTTAAGTAATTTTTTAAAGTAATTATATAACTAGTAGATTTTTCCAGTTATTTCTCAAAAGTGTTATTGATTTACTCAATGTAAAATTTTTAACATTGTATTCAAAATATTACAGCCATTATTTGGAACCCGCATCAAAAAGAAAGAAATGAAACATTAACTTAACAGACGTAACTACTACTACTAAATACTTATATCTGAAATATATAATACTTATATATATCAAAGCGAAAAAAAAATATTTAAAAATTATAAACTATTTACAAAATTACAAATACCCTTGTTATTTTATACAGACTTTGTTAACAAAACCATATTTTTTCATTTAAAAAGCTTTTCTTAATTGTCTTCACATAAAACCAATCAGATTGTCAATTATTGCATCTCGAGCAATTTTGTTCCAGCTTCCTTGAAAAGTCTTACACATGTCTCGTTTTGATGTCCTGGGTCTGATGAGGCTACAATTTATTCTGAAGCACTCCTTCTGAAGTTGTATGTACCGAATATTTCCTGCATCATATTAAACTCATTATGTGGCTAAAAATTAAGTCCCATTTAACCCACAACTAAAGGAAAAGTGCATTTTTCTTTATTATTTAATGGTTTTTTTTTAGGAGGATGAGGATGGTGGAAGCACTTCTAGGCTTTAGCGTTTGCAACACATATTTTTGGGCTACGTTTAGGAAAAACTTCAACCTTCGATGGTTAAAAGTTCATTGCATTAGATTCATTTTGTTTTGTGGCTTGACTAGTTTCAATGGATTTAGTTTGATGTTGACATTGTTGACAGTGTGTTGACGTCAACGTTGACACTTTCAGAAACTACCTTACTTACTCTCAGTCTCAGATCTTAATCACATGTTCAGGTTTACCTAGGTTTTATTAAATAATATTATTGCATAACGAGTTGTAACAACGACAATCTCTAAGACAAAATATTACAGCTCTATTAAAACTTAGGTTGTAAATATAAATAATTCTCAATGTTGGATACCACGAAACATAATCAAAATAATTAATAATGAGCGGGTACTGAAAATATTACTGTGACTCGACGGTTTCGTATGTGTGCTGCAATTATTATTGTTTTCAAATGGTACAAATTATAAATATGACGGCGCATCCGTCAAAAATCATACGTCAGGTTGACTTTTAGCTGTCTGAGGTTAGCCTAGTGAAGCGTC